TGTACATTAAGAGTTGCTCTGAGAAGAAACGGACTAGATGTTGCTCCAAAAATTACCCTTGTAATACGAAGAGCCTTTATTTTGGTTCCATTTAATTCACCATCGTTCCATAGAAACTTGACTGCGTTTCTGTCTTCATCAGCAGAGGAAATCTGCAAGAATGTTGTTCGATGTCAGCTGTAAACGCAATTCGATTTTGACGGAACTTAAGGAGCAATTCCAGTATGTCTGGACACATCTTAGGACCTGAATGTAACAGTTATTTAATGGCAAACAATGCTCCGCATGTGACGAAGTGTCAAAAACCACACGGAGTTTTGAAGTTTCCTTGTTTTCTCTTATAATGATGGCATAAAATAAGTATTTGGTCCGAATTTCAATGTTAGTCTCTTCGGATGATTCTTTCATTTAAGTATTTATCAATTACTTTGTGATATTTATCATAGAACTGTTGATTATTTTGAAATCTACGACTTAAGCTCTTAAATCTAATTTTAGCAATCTCCAGATTATTTCCAAGCTCATTTGAATTATGATTCCAGGGAAGGCAGACAACATAACGATTGTTTTCAAATTTCACAGACCTTTTGAAATTATCGAAAACTAAATTATCTTCTAATTCGAGTTCCTTATCCGAATCATAATTTATATCCCATAGAATCATAAGCTTCCCAGAGATTCTTCAGCAAACTAGACAGTGATTCGTTTTGTGTATCTTTATTATTATGAACCACAACCTTCATAGTATTCACATTAGTTGACGAAATTCCGTAAGCCCTTTCTGTTCCACTAATGATCCAACCCAATTTTGTGTCAACCACTACTAAGGAATTAGACAGTCTATGAACCTTACCCGTAACTATTTTCCAATAAAAACCCGCCCCTATCAGCAAAGAAATTTTCGGCGGTTTATTCCCTGGTCCTCATTCATCGTAAAGTTGTATGCCCTGTTTTTTAATAAGATTAACTATTTCCTTTCTAGGGGAATTAATATGTGATCCATTAATGACAGGAATAATTAAAGCTTCTATTTTGATTTCATATCGATACTTCGAATTACGCAAAATGAGACTGGTTTTTTTAACTTCTGCGCTTCGACGTGTGCAACCGAAAGAGAATATTTTTTTTCTTCTCCAATAACGGGAAGTTTTAATTTCTTACAGATGTCCTCTCTAATAAATGTTCGCTGCGATCCTAAATCAAACAACAGTGCGAAACGCTTTGCTGGCGCCAATTGACTGTGTTGAATTTCGCTCGTGCTGTCAGAAAGAAATGAGTTATTTGCTGTTGCGCAATCGGAAACAGAAGAGATACTGCCCTTTGTAACGGGACTTCTATAAGGAGGTTGCCTTTGGACGGGACTCGTTTCGTCAGAGTTATCAATGTATGATGTCGCCGATCGCAAATACCACAAGTTAGTTTCGATTGCAGTTCCTCGCTAAATGGGTCTTTTGAGGCATCTGAAACAAGAACCTTCGCTTTAACGCTTCCTTTTTTCGGCACAGTTTTTGACATGATTCTGACGTATGATTTTCAGAACAGAAAAACAGCGATTAGATAGTGATGTGTTTAACGCTGCGCTGAAGGAATTCTACCCTTATTATAATCCGATTTCTTTCGCTGTCTCGAAAACGTTCTCCAAACTGCCGCTTATTTTCCAAATGGGATTTTTTTCAGTTGACTTCAGAATCTTGGTTAATTAAAAATCCTGTACGTTCTCGACTTTCTATTTCTTTCTTAGAAAATGGAGCAAATTCGTAATTTTGTCTGTTTATCATCTCATATTTCCTATTAAATTCTAGTGCAAATCATTCGGAATCACTTATTATATCGGATACAATAAGGTACTGTACGAATCGGTAAATATTACACGATTCTATCCTAATTTGTACTTCACAACGATCATATAATTTTCGAAGTGCTGTCACATCGCCAGACCTTTTAAACGGAGTCAGAGTTAATAAAATTGTTTATGGGTATCTATTATTAGTTCTTTGCGTCCCGAGCGATCTTTTAATATTTTCACAGCCTTCTCGTAATTCTCCGCTGTTAACGTCAACCCTTGTATTGCAGTTTCTGCATCGGAAGTAAGAATTGACTTTAAATAGTTAAATTTATCTACTGCATGTAGACTTTCGTTTTTGTGTACAGCTGTCTCAAATCATGCCCAAAACCCGGGCCAACTGCACACATCCTTTCCGAAATGTTTCCATGCCAATTTAGGGAGTTTAATTTTGTTTGCGATTCAGTGACTTCCACATGAAGTAGAATTAGCGCTATGGGATTAGTATCTAAATATCTTTTCGCGCGTAATTTCCAAACAATAATTTTACTTTATACTCTTCTCTAGAACATTATTCATCTTCTAAATTTGCTACATCAATTAAAGTTTCAATTACCATTATCCGCTAAGATTAGTTCTTCTTCTTACTAACTGAGAAACGTTTCTTCAAAAACACTTTTACCCCTCACTAGCAATTTTTTCTATTTTATTATCAGCCTCGTAACTGCTCTTATAGCAGATCGTTTCTTTTTTAATTTTTCTAAATCCATGTTTTTGCTTAAACAAAATCTATTAATCAATTCAGTTCACATTCAATCCCAATGGCCCCACGTTATGGCGCCACAATGATATTATTTATTTTCCTATCGTTATTGTTGCTTCTAACTAATTAATCAAGGTAAAACAAAACTGCTTACCTTGTTCCAATGGGTTCTGCCAGAGCCAACGGTTTGAAGCTCGTCTGTGCAACTCTATCTGTAAAATCTTTGAACGGAATAATCCATAAATGATAAACTTTCTTAACACAAATATATTTAATGAAGACGTTAACGGTTACATAAATTTTACATAATGAAAGGTTTAACGTGCGACTTTTCAGTCCCGAGTTCTCGTGATCTCTAGGCGAGAGTTCATAGTTCGAGATGACGTCATTCAGCCATCGGATCTCAGCAAGAGTTGAGTTGCAACAGGCCACATACAATTAAGGTGAATAAAAAAAATCACAAAATATTTAAAAACCGGATATCTTTAGTATTTATATACAGGTGCTCGCGCTGGAGATCAAATGTTTTAATCAGTAAACTGTTGCCACTGTTTGCTTTAAAATTTTTGAGTTTGTTAAAAATTCGTTAAATTTTTACAAAATAGGAATATAAAATTCGAAATTCAAAATTTGTTCTTCCATGTATGCATGCTCGGTTCAAAATTTAATGGATCTATGTACCATCGTTTTTTCACAGGGCGAGAAACATACCTATATTTATACATATTATTCTAATTTCTTTAAAAGTAATACAGGGCGATAGTATTTCGTGGCAAAAATTTGAAAAGTGATTCGGGCATTTAAAGTTGATAGGCCGCCAAATCCCTTTTGGACACTAATAGCCCATTCTGGCTAACGCTGTTTTGGGCTAATGAACATCAATATTTTCATAAAAATTGAGACCATGAAGCAAGTTAAAAATAATTTTTAATAATTATAGCTATACAAATGATACCAATTTTATCATGAATGACAGTCATCATGCCAATAAAACTTTCCTATTTTCCATCTCTTTCAAGAATACTAGAAGTTTATTGCCTGCATAAAATTTTTAGCTTCAGTTTTAACATTAATACATTAATACCGTTAGTACGTATTTATTTTTAGCAGCATTTATGTTAATATTCAAGTACGGAGGCTATTCGCACATTTTTCGTACGATTTTCATTGTATTTACAGAAATATTTTATCTAAAATGTTTGTGTTTTAAATGTTCCATTTGGTAACCCTTATTCGTCACTGTCTTTCTACGTCGTAAGTTTGAAAATTATAAAACCTTTTTTAGTTGTGGAAGAGGTATTTTATCCCATTCCTTTTGAGTAACTTTCCAAAGTCCAAGAAGGGCTATAAGTCTATTTCTAGACAATTCGCTTTTTACGAGTCTAAAAGTGCAAAAATCCGTGGATCACAGATTAGTTATGAGTCAGGAGATTTAGTTGAGATATGAGTGAAGGATACAGGACTTGATACACATTTCTGGTTCCATTTTCCGAAGAAATTAACAGTGGAATTTTACTTGTGGCAACTCCAATTGTCTTCATGACGTTTTACTGATTGATGGCATTGGTGGTAAAGAGAAATTATTTCACATTTGAAAATTCGGTATAAAATAAGTTCCTGATAATATGTGGAGCTTTATTTAACAATTTTCAGCACTCTTTTAATTTGGGTTTATCTTTACATGAAAAAACAAAAACAATGATAAAACATTCTTTAGATTTTTTGAACCATATTCTAACATTTTCCCTTGTCTTTTATGAGAACAAATAGACCTCATTTCGTTACGGTCATTTAAGTATATTCAAGATTCATGTATTGTGACAACATTTTTTCCATTTTTGTTCAAATAATTGTTTCTCATAGCGAATTCTGCAGCGCGTTCTGTTTTCAGCGATATGTCGTGGGAAAAGACGATGCATTTTGTCGCCTTTTTAAGATTCAAGTCAGCATTAATCACTTTGCTTATGATTGACACTGAGCACTTTAATGATTTTAAAACTGTCTTTTGAATTGGTGGATTTTCATTTGACATTAAAGACCTTAACATTGCAATTTTCCAAACATTCCGTTTTTCCCTTGGATAATCTGTTTTGAACAATTTTTCTCCTTGAAGCCAAACTTTGACGTTTTTCCCCTTTCTTATTGACAATATTATCTACCGCTGCTTTAGATATCGAAAAATCATGGTCTTTCACAGCATTTTTTAATAACTAAATACAAATAATCTTCTTCGGAAACAGCACAAACATAGTCTTCCGTCCAGTGCTTTTCTAAAAACACCATTTTGCACGAAAACAAAATTGTCAAATAACAGACGATAATTTACACTTTAAAAAAGCGATTAAAAAAATTCCAAGCAGGAGTTTGTTTTTACAGCAAAACAAAATCGTCTAAAAAGTGTGCAAACAGCCTTAGTATTTAAACTGTAATTCAAAGTTACGAATTCTCTTCTAGGTTCGGAAAATGATAGCGATCTTGCTACGGATCCCCCAAATACTTCGCCATCCATTGACTCTAGCTCTGAAGCCTGCCAATCAAAAGAATGCATAAGAGCAGGTAAATATTCAGATTTAGTTTAACAGCTTGTAGCGTTGCGCGCCTCCAACTTGTACGCAACCAAGAGGTGACTGTGGAAACTGGATAAAAGACAGAGTCTTGTTAAGGGTTTAAGTCCCTTTTTATTCAACGTAATATATTACAAGTGCGTGCTCTTGACGCTCACAAACTGCGCCAACTCGGCGGTCAAATAAAAATAATAACCTGAAAAGAAATTAAAGACAAGACTCTAACTACGAGGCTCTCTAAAAAGTAACTAACCTCACCGCGTTTTACAATACCGCTGCTAATTCAGCAAACTTGAAGATCACGTTGAACGATTAACAATACTTCCAGGCAAGCACACAGGCCGAAACGCGCTCGTGAAGTAAGAATATCACACCTCGAACTCGTTTCCTTTCTATTTAAATCAGAATACTTCTGCTGATAATTTGAATCCTTGCGCATTCTACTAAAATTTACATACTCTGGCATTGGCAGTTCCAGGGGAAAGTAAGGCTTGACAGGAAAGGTAGTTTAAACTTACAATAAATGTTAGTTAAAATAAATATAAACCCTACAAGCTATTTCTTTATAATAAGGGATTCTTGAGTTTTCTTCACTTAAAAGCAATCATTCTGCAAAGCAAAATGTATAAATAATGCACACTGTATCACAAATGTTGCACGAATGCACAAATGCACACTGTACAAATGTTGCATCACAAAATGCATTTATGATGCAACTGGTACAGTTTTCTTTTTCAGCTATATCTGCAAGACACGACGATTTTTACGCATAGCATCTTAAATGCATTAATTACTGTGGAAAGCTATAACAATCTCGGATTCTCTCTTTAAATGCAAGTTTTGTCTCCGCTTCAATTTTATGTTTCTAGAGCCAGAATATGAAGCAATCAAAATAAACTTTTTAATTTTGAAAAATAAATTCCAATCAAAAATTGAATTATTTTAAAATTTGTTGAAAATTGTTTAACTTTTATCTTGTGAAAAATTGTAGGGAAGAAAAAACCTTTTGGTCCATAGCGCTTTAACTGAGGCTAGATATTCTCTGTTCCAAACACAGATAGCATGATTTCTATAAAAATGTTTTATGCAATATAAATCGAATAATAATTCAAAATAGTTTTCTGAAATATTTTGAATCTCTTCTATAGTTTTACATTGACGATATTAAACAAAGGGGTTGAAGAAAAAATGAACAGAATAATAATTTTTGAGACATTTCGGAATCTCATTTAGTCAATTAAAGAAGTTTCGAATAACGAAACTTAAGGGGGCTCATGCACCTTAAACCCCTTAACTGTCTTCGAATATGTGACTGTTGCAAGAATTGGGATATTTTATTTATTTTAAAAGCAATTACTTCCAACCTTTTACAGTTGACTACATAATATAGCTGCTTTGGGAACTAGTAACCAGAAAGTTTGTGTTGCCACAAATATTTTTGTAACTTAATTCTCTTTGTGACAAAAGTTTTCGTCATGTTTCACCTTGCGCAAATGATATTTTAAAAATGGTTAATGGTACATACTTAAAATTTAATGGAATTCTTTATATGAGCCCTATTTTTAACTGAACAAAAATATGATGGATATTTTAATATTAAAAAATTTATGGACGAAAACATGACAGATTTTTTTTTAATAAAATACATTTATAAACTCAACTCCAAATAAAATAAAAAAATTTAACATGAATTCTTAGAATTTTGGTTTACAGTAGTTTACAAATATTATAAAGGCTATTAATTAAAATGGAATAAATTATGCAAACAGAATGTTTTAAAACTGTGGCAAGGTGGAAACATGACGAAACATTTTGTCACGAGCGGTTAATTATAAAATATTTGAGGCAACACAAACTTTCTGATTACTATTTCAGAAAGCAGCTATATTATGTAGGCAGCTTCAAAAAGTTGGAAGTAATTGCTTTTAAAATAAATAAGTTCTCCCAATTCTTGCAACAATCACATATTCGAAGATCTTATGGTTTTTAAGGTGTACGAGTCCCCTTAAATGCGATTTCAACATATTTGAAGCAAAATCAGAAAACAATTGCGATAAAATTCCAAAACTCTACAAGGATATTTAATCATTGATAAACAGCAGGGATTAGATCAATGATTTTCTATACCTACGCGTGAATATTACAGGCCCAGTGATGAATGTGAAGCAAGTCGTTGATACTTTGGTACATGAATAGATACCTAAGTGAAACGTAATTAAGTCGTTTGACTGACAATGATGTTAACGCAACTGAGGGTTGATTCTTTCTGCGGAGAGCTAGGTAGAATACCAAATTTTATAAAGCGAACGACAATAAGGGCGATGTGGAAAATTCAGGCGCTGAACAATGGCAAAATCTAAACCCCTATGTTTTTAGAGAATTTCTGTACAGATGATATTTACAACATTGCTGAAGCTGGGTTCTATCATCAAGCTACATCTGACCGCTTCCTGTGTTTATAAGCATATTACACTATCACGATGTTAATTGAAAACGCAAGGCACAAATCAAATAGCAAACAGAGTGGGATGAATGTGCCCAAGATCGCAGCACATGCTACTACATCAGACAAGCAGGCGACAAAGGCAACATCCTTTCCCCGCAATTAAAATGATTTATTACAGGACATGGTCCTTTTTCCTAATATTTAAAAGGCACGGCGTCAGTAACATCGAACTCTGTGTCCGTGAAGAAACTGGTACTCTATATCCTTATCTTATCATCAGCCCACTTACCACCATCTTAAAAATCCCCGGTAACAGTACACACGCTTTCTGCAAGCTTATGGTTAAACAGCGTTATCTGGTGACAAGGAATGCGAAGATTATCGGCAAGCTTGCAAATCTCGGAGATGACCTATTCCTCCTTATAAATTTTATGCAACTTTATTTTTTCGGGGGGGGAGGGAAAGGAGTTAGGATTTGAATTAGGAACGGGGGACGTGGGCACCATCCCTTTACCGTTATGGTTAATTGGTTTAGCGCCACGTCCTCCAACATCCAGAGCAAAGCCAGAAGAGGCCACACGTGAGATTCGCACCAGACACCCAGACCCAGCACCCTATTCATCCGGGTAGCAGTCCAGCCGACTAAAGTGCCCCCCGAGGAATACTCTAAGCCAAAATGCCGGGTTCAGCCTTAATTTGTTTACAAGGGCAGAATCTGAGTTAATAGTAAATATGCCTAGAGTAAGAATTTAATATTCACTCAATTTGTTTTTAGAAGTACTCTCTCTGTACGATGTATTTGGATGTCACGATGTATTTGGATGTCGCGCAGTATAAGTGTGTAAATTTCTGTGAAACCTGTAAAGTGTATTTGTAATTATACTATTGTACAGGCGCGTAGCTAAAGGGGGGCAAGAGGAGCATCTGTCCCCGGGCGCAGAATTCAAGGGGCGCCAAACTGATTTTACGACATTTTAAAATTAAATGTTTTCCATCCTTGGCAAGCAGTAGGGGGCGCGAAATCTTCAGTTGTCCCTGGGCCCTGAAAACCCTAGCTACGACTCTGCTAATGTATTAAGCCCTTGTCCATACAGCAAGGAAACCTCATTGTGTGAGCTGTTTAATTTGTCATTTTATCAAAGTGTTTAATAAAACTATTCATTTGTTTCTATGAAAGAAAGACTTATGCGTGGAACATAGATCACAAGCCATTTTAAAAGAATATTAGCTTGAAGCAAAATATGCTTATATGTGTAAGTCTTCTTGTGGAAATAGTGGTCATAAAATGGCATACGCATAGGCTGATCGAAAAGAATCAAACGAGTGAGTTTGTGGGTTTTGTATTTCTTTACTTCTGGCAAATTGGGATCCCTAACACTTAATTGCGCTTTTTACAACATTTTGTGAACACTACAAAAATGTGAATATACTGTTTTGAGTACCAACTTCATGATTGTATTAAAGGGACTCTGCAAAGGAAGTGTTATCAATATGCTAATTGCACAAGACTCGACAACAATAATCAGTTTTTCCATTCCTACCTCTTTAATAGATATAAGAAAATCCAACAAAGAATTTGCTTAAAAAATTATGAACTACATGACTTTAGTTTTGAACTCCCTTTTTTCCCAAGAACATGGTTACTACAAAAAATAATTTATCTTTATTAATGGACATTGGTAAGTTCAAAGTAGTTATCTTTCAGATATTGTGAAAATGTAACAAATAGATAACTATTAAAAAATATGGTGTGGCCTATGGTACTGAATTGTTTTATTCTATTATATTCTTTAAATGCTTAAATAATCATCAATCAGAACTTAATGTTATCCAGGAATTCAAAACCTTCCCACAAAAATTTTTCAAAGTTCAATTTTGACATATATAATTTTCATTTATAAAATATCATGAAATTATCAGTATTAGATTTGAGAGGGAATTTTGATATGAATATGCAATGATTTTAATTTTTTAATGTAGTTATTTTATCCCATTTAAGCTAAAGGTAAGTATGGTTTGCAAACACATTTAATCATTTTACAATAAATGTTTAACAGTGGATAAAACTCGGGAAATGTTGAATTCCAAAAATGTGAGAATTCCAACTAGTTAAACGTATAAAAAATAGAATTAACATTAGAAAAGCTATAACAATCGGAAAATTATGCAATTATGTCCTGAGCTATAACAGCTACAATATCGTATAGTGTTATTTGATGTATTTTCGAAGGCTAGATATGCGGGGACGCGAGGCAAAACCACTACTCTTATGGTAGAATGCTTTCGGTCTCCCGTCAACTGTGAAATATCAGGATGTGAAAAGGCATTGGACCGCATTATTGTGTTTTGATGTGCAAGTGTGCCAGGTACTGATGAACGAAAATTATTAATAGCAGAAAAAATTCCTAAGCCTCGATGATTTGAGGTATTAACAATACTGAGTTTATCAGTAGAGTGCCACGCCAATAGTAATGCACGGATGACGTCTGAAGATTTTCGGAGCTGACATAAGAACGTAGAATAACAACATAAACGAAAGAAAAGTCTGTTGCATCTCAATAATCGTGCCGCACACCATCATTTAGAAAAACCTAAAAAATAGGCTAGAATTTCTTCCTCCTAATACAACATACTTAGAACATTTAAAGGACATCGGGTTAATAAAAATTAAAAAAAATAAATAAAAGACGTCGTATCGAGGAGAATTGGTTAATTGCATACTGGAATCAATAGAAGAAAATTTATTTACAAGTTTATTAACAGCCAGAGAGATAAGTGCACAAAGTTCAGTTTTGCAAGCAGTAGAGTTTATCGCTGCCACTTAGCAAGATATAAAAACTGCACACTACAAAACGATTTTTCTTTCTGAGGTCTAAAACCTCTGAATGTGTCTGAAATTCTGGGAATCGGGGAAAATGAAAGCAAGATCCCATTAAAAGGTTCTAGTTAATTTACAAGCCCTTGGCTACTAGAACTTTATCGAAATGTCTAGTAACTATTCGCTGGTCTTCTCCAAATTCCAAAGAAGGAGTAAAATATCCTTTTGTTCACTTAAACGAAATACTACAGATGGCCCCTCTAGGGCTTACAGAAAAGCCTTCACTTGGGCTTTAACGTGAGATAGAACATAATGAACTAAACTAATTCTAACTAGACAAACTTTTATCTGAATCTTTTCAAAAATAACTAACCCAGCTGACCCGGTAAACCAAGGTAATTAAACCTCACCGGGGAAAAGTAAAAGGCACATAAGACTACGGCCGAATGTAGCAAGATAGATGATGTAGATCAACGATGTGGCCTGAAAGTAGAACACGCTCTACTGAGAACATCTAAGCTCTTCTCCGGAAGTGACTGAACTTCCCATTAAATACTGGTTCTACTTCATTTACATAAATGCGATACTGAGATCTCATTCCGGCAGGGAATTGTAGGTTGGAAACAAGAATTTAAGGGAAAGGGTTTCAAAACAAAAAAATAACTAATAGGCAATTAAAATAATCCCCGCACTATTGTGGATAATAAAGAAAGTTTCAACAATTTATGATAATCCTGAGGATGCAATTTTGGAAGTCCTTAATCCAAACATCTAAATTCAACGGAAATAAACTATGATAAAGACGATGATCCGCCTGTGCTTGTTAGTAATCGTGAGGTAAAAATATTTATTAGTTATACAGATTTACCATACAGATTTACCATACAGATTTATTTATACTTGTACAAATTTACTATAGTAGATTTATAGTTACAATGCTATTTTACGTAGGAAGGTAATAAACATATGCGCAGATTTTGTAGAACTGCAAAATTTCAGAAGCAAAAAAGAAACTATGCTTTTTGCATTTCGTTTGCACTTGTTATTTTCCTATTTAAAATGTGAAATTTTGAATTCTATCATGTTGTGTATTTTTTTGTGCAATTTGTATAGTGCACAAACATTTTCTCTCTTTTGGTTTAATAAAAATCAAAATATGCTTGCTTATTATTTTTTATTTATTACTTTTTATACATTATTATTACATTTTACATTAGAATTTATTAATAGTTTATTTATTTTTATTGCTTTCAGCTTTAATGGGACTAAACGAGATTAGTCTAAATGTCTCAATTAAAGTGCAATAAAGTCTATTATTTGATTTCGTAAGGAAGAACAGATACAGTTAAAATCGCACACTTAAGTTTCTTCTTACCTTAAAGCCCACCAGCGGCCGAGCGGTAAAGTCGCTGAACACTGGTAGTTCGGTCCGAGGTTCGAATCCCGCGAACGGGCTGGCTGCATGGGCGTTTTCGTGGTTTTCCCCATGTGTAACGTGTATACGAGTCAGTTCCCCTTAGAAAGTCCTCCACGGAGGCATCCCTCCCATTAGGCAGATAGCCCTCGCGGCTTTGCCATAATCACACACACACACACTTCTCACCTTAAATGCAATAGATGTATTGAAAAAAAAAAATAAAATTTGCAACAAATTCCTCACTACTCAACCCTTAAACTGTAAATCACCGACTATTGAGCGATTAAAACCAAGCTCACGACCACTTCAAATTAACTTCTCTCATATGTATTCTTAAATTAATTTTTATTTAAAGATTGTTGTAAAAAACTTTAAAATGTAAAAGCATGCAGTTATCATACATTTTCCTTCTCCTGTGGAAGTAAGATGAAAAAGAAGAGAATATGGTTCTTGTCAGGGAAGCTTTTAATAACCTCTTCATCCACCTTGACTGTAATCAACTTAGAAAATTTCTACCATTCGATGAGTGGACGAGGAGACTGCATCGTGATACAGAACATCCAATTTTTATTTTCTTGTACAAAGTATTGTATTCGGGAAAAATTTCGAGTATCATAATTCAAACAAAATATATATTTTGATCACTCTCGAATCAATTTGGACAATTTTTTGCTTCACATCTGTACGTACGGACAGAATAAAGGATATATATGTGTAATAATCAAATTCCATAGTCAAGAATACACTTAAAATTCTAACTGTATGTTCTTTTCATTTTTAATGGCGACGGTCTCTTATTTGAAGTAGTGGAAATTAAATCCGAGCCCCGTAGTCAAGTTGTTTTTCCCGCCTTTTCTACACGTACAGTTATAGAATGATTGGAATTATTTAAGCGAACTGGATTGGCTGACGAGGCAGACGTCATTCTTGGAAGCTCCGCCTTTCAGAGGCTATAAAAGGACTCGCAAAAGAATATCGGGGCTTTCTTTAATGTAACGATGCAGTAAACTTCATACAAAACAGTTATTAGTAATTCTTTTTATTTACTCCGGATATCTGATTTTGTAACTGCTATTTTTCCTGAATAATAATAAATGGATCCTGTTTTTTAAACTTATCGTCTGATAATTTAAGCTACGATGACATCTATGATTCTTCACCAATCGATTTATTCCGCACAAAAGCTGGTACATCACCAACACACACATATATATTTAAAAAAACAGATTATGAAATGGATTTAAAATGCATTCAGAAGGGATTTTTCGTGACGTATATAGACGTATATAGACATATATATATAGGTACGTATATAGACATGCATGTATCTGGCATAACTTTAAAACGATTAGCCATAGTATCAGGTTCAATGTTTCTTCTAACCTTCTTCGGAAACATACAATGACCTGACTAGAACAGAAAGCTTACTAAAGCTATGTTCACTAATTGTAGTAAGTAGACAGGATACAGACGAAGGGTATACAAAACCCTTTATTTTTTTTCTTTATATACAATGACTTCCGTACTTCGGAATACAATGACCCTCCACTCGGGGTCTAACTTAAAAGATATCAAAATAAAACTAAACTCTAATTTAACTTTAGAATAAGATTGGCCTTATAATAACAGAAAGCGTATGTAGCCAGAGACTGTGAACACTACAATACGTTTAATTTATCAAGAGGATTAAAACCTCTGGCCTGGAAGGCAAAGTAGCAACTGCGTAACTTCTAAGGTAAGCGGCCTGCTTCGAACTCACGGCTTCCTCTCTCCTGCTTGGCAAAAGGCCACACTTAAATACTTGGCGTTCGCCAGACAACTTTGCATAAACTCCTTCACGCTTATAATTCTGCCCGGAAGTAGAAAATAAGAAGTGCGATAGAAGATTTAAAATAAAATAAACGTTAGTAAAACTTAAGATCCTTACATAGAACCTCGAAATTTTGTACATAGGGGAGGGCTATAACGTGTAATTGTGTGCCTAGACCTAATAAATGTGATTGAATTATGTTGTTCTTACGCTTCGGTAGAGGATTGGTTTCGTGACGTCTGTACGTATATACACATGTATGTATCTCGCATAACTCTAAAACGATTAGTCGTAGAACGTTAAAATTTTGTACACGGGACGGCTATAACGTACAGTGTGCGCCTAGACTTAGTAAATGTGATTGAGTTATGTTGTTCTTACGTTCCGGTAGATATTTCTTTTGCTTTTAGTACAGATGCTTCTGCTACAGGCATTATCTGTAAAATTATCAATAATTTAAAAGTATAAGTAGTGTTAAGAGGGCGTTAATATGTTTATACTTGAAATTCTTGCTAGTATAGTGAATAAAGTCAGTTGGTGCATCAAATTCTGTGTCACTCTGCCTAGTGGGATCAAAAGTTAACTTTAAATTTTGGTGCACCTAAAAATTTTGTCTTTAGACCGGTTGGCCAAATTAGTTATGTTTGTGCAGAAACTAATTGGAAAGGGAAAAAAAAAAAAAAAAAAAAAACTGTTTCCTGTAGTTTTTTTTTTCTTTCACCATTTTTGATGACGTTGTTTTGAGTTTTTATGTATTTCTTCCTCGTCGCGGAGTGAGAACTGAATTGATAGAATGAGAAATATATCTCTAAAAAAGGGAGGAAAGAATTAAAGGGAAGAAATTCGAAGAAAGAATTTTAAGTGCATCAAAAAATATGTATAATTTAACTGGCCATACAAGAAAGTCACGAGGTTTCCACATCAGATTTTTCCATTTCACTGTACAGTGAACGAAAGTGAACAGTGACACTGTACAGTGAATAGTGTCACAGCAAGTGACGGCTATAGTGAAGGAAGGCAAGAAAATTTTGGAGAAGGCATCTTGTGGTACAAACTCCTTTGACTCTTAAATTTTTGTTTGACTGAGCTTCTCTACTCAAGCTTTTGCTCGATCGCGAATGGTCAAAATCTTTCAAAACTCTGGGAAAGCATAGGAAGGCATAAAATAATTTTCAGGAGATGTTTATCCGCATTGTTTTGCTTGGGAAAGAGGTCCTTTTAATAAGCTAAGTCCAAATGCACTAGTATGTCATCAGTACTTTTCTTGCTATAGTACTGCTCCAAAATTTTTAAAAATATAATCTTTAATTCTTCGCAATGCAAATTCAATGCTTTCAAGAATGTCAAGTGTTCTAAAAAGTTATAAAGTAATTATAAACGAATTAATTTTTGTAAATGATGATTTTTCGTTTTTCTTCTAGCTGTGGATATCAAAAGAAATATAGATGAATCTGTAGATCCCTGTAAGGATTTTTATAAATTTGCCTGTGGTGGTTGGATAAAGGAACACAGAAGTCCTCCCGAAGTATCTTACATTTCTGTCTTTTCCAAAGTTGAAGATCAACTCAATTTGAAACTCAAACGTAACAAAGCTTGTTTACATTTTCAGCTATTAATCTCATTTCAGGTTTGATCAATAATAAAGAGAATTAATAAATCACACTTTAATGAAAGACACTTTAAGGTATTTGAATACATTCTAATCGTCAGTTTCGATGAAAGTTTTCAAAGACATTTTATTACTTAATTATTATTATTATTTTATTATTTAAAGCTTATAAATTAAGCTTTCAAAAACTATTTTTATTTTGCCTCTCTGGTCGTTAGAAGCAGAATTATAGCTGTTCCTGTTCGACGCCGCGAATTGGAAGTTTCTGTTTAAGAACCCGAAAGTTGATGTGTAAAGGTATACAGACTAAATAACTTTAAAATGAGAATTTTTCATTTAAATATTTTTAGTGATGTTCAGAAGATTTCGAAAGACGAATTTGAACCCTTTTATTTGTTCTTAAGTGCTCCGGAACAAGTTTATTTTTAATTTGATTTTTAGACTTGGTAACATTTTCATTTCCTTCTGTTTGTGGTTGCATTACATTAAACCAATTTTCCAAAAATCTTTTCTGTTACGAAAAAAACCTAAAACACAGAATATTACTACAGTAACGTTATCAAAATTTTCACAAATATTCTATGACATATTGTGAATTAAATGGACTAAACTTATAGGTTTACGTACCTATCTAAACCATTTTCAAACGATTTTGTAAATGAAAAGAAAGAAATTTCTGTAAAACATAGCTATTGCAAGTACTCAAACTGGTGCATTTAATAGACATAGTGTTTTAACACTTAGAATTTTAGTCCACTTAATTCCTTACACTTTAATAAATATAAATGACAAAAATAAAAGTAAAATATTGATAAATATTTTTGTGGGAACATATCTAGTAATCCTAAAATTTAACACACTTTTAACCCAAAATGTAAAAACAAATCCAAAACTTATACTTTGATGATGTGTTTATAACCTTCTATGATTTCAAATAGTATCGAGTTATAGCACCAACAATGAATTTATTTGTATTATTTTGCAAAATTTGCATGTTGAACGTAGTCGGATACCTTAACAAGCTTCAAAAAGGAGAACATTTCTTATCAGCTAGTTTACTCTTTAGATGAAGTATTTCAGATAGAGAAATAAAAATACACCGATCTAACAAACGTGTATGCTTTTTTTGGTGGTGGTGGTGATTGGGGGGGGAGGTCGGACGATTTTACGTTAAATTATTTATGACAAATGATTATATCTTTGCGTTTCGACTTTATGATTGCTTGTAAGACGCATAGTGACGTAGAAGTTCTGTTCCTAATTATGTTCCTGCCTCTTAATCAGATTAATGAGTGCTCATTATGAATCCTTGCTATGTATGAATGATTAAATCTGAACGAAAGTGGGCGCCAATTCTAAGGTGACCAGATTTTTAACATTGGTAAAGCGGGACACCATCGACCGGGGATGATTAAACATTTGGCCTATACAAAGCAACACAAATTGTCATAGAACGAAAAATAGTATTGTAATATATTTTTAAAATTTGAACACAAGTACAATTTACAAATACATTAAAAGAAATTATGTATAGTATTATTTTATTCTTTGGCATATTTCTCGTTTGAGTGAATTTTGTTTAGTAGATTCCTGTCGTTGTTTGAAAGGTCATAAATTTTTTCACAATAATTTGTTAAATTATATTTCACACATAAAATGGCTTTTAAAGTCTCAACACTTAATTGTGATTTTTCTGCTGTCCGCACTTTATTTACCGTAGAAAACAAGCGATCCGTCACAGCATTAGTTCCTGGGGTATTCCACAGTTTTTAGTGCATTATTGTATGGAACATGGTTTGTTTCAAAATGATGAAATATTCCAAACCATTTGTTTTCTATTGAGATTTTCGCTGATGTCCAAGATTTAACCTTTTCCTTATTAATATATTTTTTAATAATGATGTCTAATTAAAAAGATCATTTTTAGAAATATTACTAATATGGAAAATTTTGATTAATATGATCGAATGATTTTTGCACATTCCAATTAAGTTCTTGTTTTAATACAGGGTGTTTATAAAGTCCCGGACTCATTTTGATGATTCATTAACTCGTAAAATAATAAAGATAGATTAAAATTAATAACATAAATGGTTAGATAGACTCAAAAAGTTTCATGACCCTTGTCAATGAACTTCCACGCGGGCCCCCTTCGTCGCACGGAGAATATCAAGTCGATATTCAATTTCTCGCCAGGTACCGGCAAGCATGTCGGCATCCACAGAGGCTATTGCGGTTGTAATTCTGGCTCTTAGGTCATCCATGTTCGACACTCTCCTCCTGTAAACGTTGTCCTTTACAAATCCCCAAAGGAAAAAGTCCAGCGGCGTTATATCAGGTGATCTGGGTGGCCAAGGAATTGGACCTCCTCGCCCAATCCCTCGTCCTGTAAAATGGTCATTCAAAGAACTACGAACGATGGTACCCCAATGAGGTGGTGCACCATCTTGTTGCAAAGAGACATGTGGCTGAAGCTCTTCTAGTTGTGGAAATATGAAGTTTTCCAACATGTCTAAGTATACGACTGATGAGACCGTCTTTTCTGTAAAAAAGAAAGGCCCAATGACTCGGTCGTGCATTAGTCCACACCACACATTAACCTTTGGGCTATTCCTTTGTGCCTCACGGTATTCATGGGGGTTTTCAGATCTCCATATGCGCACATTATGGCGATTAACAATGCCAGAAAGATGCCAAAACAGGAGAGAGAAAAATGCAATTAATAAGCAGACGATATTTAGAAAAGCACAGATATTTAGACTGGAAAATGAAATTATCTGAAATTAACCCTACGCGCAGACGATATTTACAAAAGTAAAGATATTCAAACCCGAAAAGGAAAATATATAAGTTATTCCATCAATAAATGCCATAAGGTTTTTTTATATTTCATTATTTTATGAGTTATGAAACATCAAAATGGGTCCGGGACTTTATAAACACCCTGTATATTCCGTAGCTTGTCCTGCATTCTTCCTAAAAATCGGGACTTTTTTTAAAAAGCCGCGGGACGCGAGACAAATTGTTAAAAATCGGCGTCTGGTCACCTTAGCCAATTAATAACACTCTCAGCCATGTTTTAAGTCACCATTAAAAGTAGGTGTGTTTCCAATCAGGTGCCGCAAGGAAGTATAGGCTACCTATTTTCATCATTTTTGAGATGGAATAGAGCCATTCAAAAAATTAATCCTTTCTCAGTGACGGTGCAATTATTTCAAATACGATGATTGTAATTTTATTTTTTATTGATTTGACATTTTGTTTTAGGATCATACCATATGATCCAGGTTTCGATTCAAATGGTGTGTGTTTGAAAACATTTCTGCTCGACTTGTAATTGTTATTAGATTATCGACGCAAACTTTCTTGCAGCACATCATCTAAAGTACTCTCGTATTAAAACTGAGTGACAATGAATTAAAACTATCGGCAAGTTATTGCTTGCCGTAATTGTTTGGACAAATTTATACTACTTTGTTCAGAAATACACACTCTCGTTACGTAATTATGTTTAGAATTACACACTCTAATTGTGTAACAAACATGTCATCGCTAAACTGTTTAGCATGCATTGTCTCCATAGTCCTGAAATGCAAAGTATCCGTAAACTATCTTAGAAGCTCACAAGAATTCATTGAGAATGCTATTACACGTTCAGCGCTGCGTCTTCAATTTTCGGAACAGCGAGCCTTTTATGAATTTACTGATGAAGATCACTATTTAAACAACACTAATTAAGTATGTTTTTGTACTTACTTACTGACAAGCAGGAAACAAATGCTTTTCAAAGATGCTTTGAGGTAATTTCTGACACAGTATGCTCCGAGTATACTCAGATTAGGATCAGGATCTTCACTCTGCTGCTGGCAGGCAACGTCTAGAAGTTTTAAACAGAAAACCACTAATCCAAATAAACATTCTGGGGAGTTAGAAGAGGTGAAGTGCTCTCGAACCTTCCGTCAGAAATGACGTAGCTGAGAATCCTTACGCAAGCAGACGTTCGTAATTTACTCGGTGTCTTGAAATGCTTAACATATGATTGGTCAGAGAGCTAGAAGTAAATAGATCTAGATTTAATAAGGACACAATAACACGCCGAATAAATACTAATTCAGAAGACAAACAACAAAAATCAGCGTTATATTTACAAAACTTCCACAGGACTAGTTTCGATGGTTTTACCGAACCACCATCCTCAGCTGCAAAACCGCAAATGAACAAGATAGGAAGAAATGATTAGATAAGATAAGAAAGCCTGGACAAGAATAAGCAAGTGGCACCATCTGTTGGTGAAACCAGAACTAAAACATAATTTCTTTAAAGGCCGAAGGCAAATTTGGATTGGAATTAGGATCGTTAACTAGAACAGAAAGATTTTTATGAATGTGAAATGCCTCTAGAAAATCCAGTTCTCCAATGGAAGATGTTTTTTGAATAATTTTGGCAGCAGAAAAATTGAAAGTGTGATTTTCGGACCAACAATGTTGCGCAACAGAAGACTTCTGTGTTTCCTTTTTTCTAACATATGCCTCATGTTCCTTGAGAACAAAAACATCTTCCATTGGAGAACTGGATTTTCTAGAGGCATTTCACATTCATAAAAATCTTTCTGTTCTAGTTAACGATCCTAATTCCAATCCAAATTTGCCTTCGGCCTTTAAAGAAATTATGCTTTAGTTCTGGTTTCACCAACAGATGGCGCCACTTGCTTATTCTTGTCCAGGCTTTCTTATCTTATCTAATAATTTTTTCCTATCTTGTTCATTTGCGGTTTTGCAGCTGAGGATGGTGGTTCGGTAAAACCATCGAAACTAGTCCTGTGGAAGTTTTGTAAATATAACGCTGATTTTTGTTGTTTGTCTTCTGAATGAGATCTAGATTTCATTGCAAAGCATATTTTCCTTCCCCTCATCAAAGCGACTGCTAGCAGTCAGCGCTACAGAAGAAGTAATCGCAGGAATGTTCAACTTCAGGAAGTTCTGTTCAAGAACAAAACCGCCTCTCTCTTCGAATATTTGTAATGCTTTACTAGTTATTTGGAATGTAACTAACTATATTTGAAGCGGATCATCCAGTTTTTCATAAGTTTTTACTATGTCTGCTTACCCCTGCAGAACGAAATTAATTTCGTTGAGCTACCGTTTAATGGTTTAACGGACTTAGAGGGCCATTGATATTGTCTGAAGGACGTTATTGCCAGAGTGTTCTGCAGGCTGCTGGAGAGCATTGGTGTCAGTAGGCAAACTGTAAATCTACAGTTAACAATGATACATGGATGAGTTACTAGAGAGCCACAGAATGAGCTCAGGTTGGAAGAACTGGAACAATTTCAAAAGAGCCAAGAAAACGCGATTGTAGAGGAAATATCCTCGGAAGAAGCGAAAGGAGGAAAAGATTATACCAGTCCTTTGTTCCTTTAAATTTGCATAAAATGGGGTAAGTTACAAAATTTCATGGAGTGATATTCCTTTGTTAAAACAATAGGAAGCCTCAGAAAAGCATTTCAGTGCCACATTTCACTTCAAAATCACTGTAAAAAGTAGACAAGAACATATCATGTCGCAAAGTATTTTCTCTTTCCTTACTCCATGCCTAACAGTGTAATTAGATCCAACTAGCAATTGGGAGGTTCGAGATTTAAACCCTCGACAGGGCATTAAACGTTTTACCCCTTTCTTGCTTTGAGAAATCTCTACAATGTGCCAGCAAATTAAACTGCAGAGAGCGATAATTCGTCATCGCCAAACTGGAAGTTAGGTCATCTCTTTCAGAAACGCCCTTTAAGAGAAGAAGAATGAAATGTATTTTTCTCTTCTTCCAAAGTGCCTTCGGAGTGTAACTGGAAAGCACTTCTGGCTAGCATTTGGAAGATCTGGAGTTCGAATCCTGGTGCGGGCATTTAATGTTACCTTATTCGACAAAGTTAATGATTCTACAACGTTGGATGGCACAATAATTTCAAGTTGCAAATATTTTGTTAGATGAACGGTCCATGAACTGATGCTTCACTGTAACGTGAGATGCTGCTTCGGAATATTTAAATTTCGATTAAAATTATGAAGTTCAATTTGAGAAATTACTTCTATGATCATTAAAAAAGGGATCTTCTTTAATCCATCTTTTATTCATAATCTGTTAAATTTGCTAGTCCAAAGGGGCAATTTGCCCAGAAGGACTATAAATTTCATTTTGGCATTTTGCGTTGATTCACTATAAACGATGAATCACTTTTTAAATTGTTCTCACCAAATATTATATTTTAATTATAAGTATTATATTTTATGAATTTATTATATTATTATTATGTATTATATTTTAAGAAATTAAATAATAAAGAATCTACATAAATGTATGTATGTTTCTCGCATTGCGATAAAACAACGACATCTACAGCCATCCAATTTTGAATAACGTAATCCTCCACCGAATATGGGAATCTGGAAACCCTATTTTTAAATTTGGAATTTGTTTTATTATCGATTTCTTATTTTGCAACACTTTAACGTATTTTTGATTAACAACGATTAAACTCAACGATTTCAAAGCGAGAAACGGCAACACTGTGGGATTAAAAAAAAAAAAAAAAAAAAAAAAAAAAAAAAAAAACACTTTTACTTTAAGCGTGCAAGACTGTGTATCGGAAATTCTAAGCATATGCTCATTTTAAAATTATTTTGCGATATTGCTGTTCAATTAAATTTAATGGTTTAAATGCAAGGAACATGATATTTAATAAATAAAGGTAACACACAAAACTTTAAAAACGCCCCTTTGGGCGTAATGTAAAATCTGAAAGCTTTAGATTTATTATTATTACTATTATTATATTATTTAATTTATTATTTTAATTAATTACTTTGTACAATATAGGGAGCTTTTTATAAAAAATGTAATTGTTTATGGTTTTCGCATACATATATAGCGACATCCTACCAATAACATGTGTATTACTTATAAAGACAATACATAAATGCAGATTATAACTTATATCTTCTTTTTGCTTCTAGATATTTTAGAAAAAAGGTCGGATAAAACAACACCTAAATATATTATCAAGTTAAGAGACTTCTACCGAGCTTGCATGCTTGCCGGTAAGTTTTACATCGAATTTTTGTTTTACTAGTTAATTATACATAAAACTGATCAGAATGATTTTATCTTGATGTTTTTGTATGAGTAGAGTTCAATAAGTTCTAAGCTATAGAATGGATTACTTATAAGCTAAACGATACGAAAGGTTAAAAGATCGCATCATTTCTTTGAACTCTTACAACATGTACTATTTGATTGTTTCACAGCCTTTTTAAAGTCTTATCAGACTATGAAATTTAGGGGTCTGGGTCATAATCCCGACAGCCGAAATCCCGACAAGCCAGAATCCCGACAGTCGGAATCCCGACTGTCCAAAACCCCGACAGGGCCGAAATCCCGACAACCCAAAGTCCCGACACGGTCGAAATCCCGACAGGGTCAAAATCCCGACAAGCCAGAATCCCGACAGGGTCAGAATCCCGAGTGTCCAGAATCCCGACAGGGTCGAAATCCCGACAAATTAATATCTAAATACAAACACTCAATTTCGCTTAATAAGATACAATTTTTAACTAACTATTACATATTACTAATTAAAAGCTTAAATAAAAAAATCATAAAAATTATGTCATTACTTAAAATAATTTTTAACAAATTGAAATGACCGTCAAAATTTGAAATGAAGATTTATAAAATTTTTTTTATTAAGGAAAAGAAAACATCACTTACACATGCAAACGACATATTTACAGTGACACATTGCAGCGATAGCACGAAGATATTCCATCACAGGTCGATTATCACGATCGTCCACAACAGTCAAATTCTCCTTTCTGTCATCATCTACCTTCTACGTTTTGGTTGTTGTTCTCCGCGAAGAATGCATTCAACTTGGTATTCCACATGCTCCTGTTCTTTTTGAAATCCTTCTCGATGATGTTATAAACGCCAAATATGGGCCGTCCAATTGAGGTCTCCCATCTTCTGTGCCAATCCTCGACAGCATTTTGAGTGCGCGGAGCATTTATAGCTGCCTTTTCTAGATCACTAATGATTCTAGATGGCCTCAGCTCAATATTATTTTCTTCAGCGAAATCAATTAAATCTTGGAATAATCTTTTGTAATTTTCTTCAGATTTGCTAGTCATCAAAGCATATACTAGTTGCAGCTGTGGAAGTATGTTAAGGGTTCATTAGGCCTTATTGGGATTTCGCCCGTGTCGGTATTTTGACCCTGTCGGGATATTGGACAATCGGGATTTCGACCCTGTCGGGATTTTGGCTTGTCGGGATTTCGACCCTGTCGGGATTTTGGTTTGTTGGGATTTCGACCCTGTCGGGATTTTGGCTTGTCGGGATTCCGTCTGTCGGTATTCTGGCTTGTCGGGATTTCGGCTGTCGGGATTATGTCCGGATACCGAAATTTAGTAACTTGAAATATCAGCTATCGTTACGTAACTGTGTTACGACACAAGAAGGCGAAACACTAGTAAAATTCCCGAATGCCATCCACAAAACCTGAATTACAGTTTTGACACAGGGAATAGCGACATTTAAGAGTGATTCCAGACCAGATCGCAATGTGCATATGGCCACTGAGTGAAAATCGAGAAATATATGATGGAAAATTGCGGGTGCGGCAGTTTCTCAGAATAATGAAAACGGGCTATTTGTTAAAATCCTACATGGCTTTGCGAAGCCTTGTTCTAAATAAGTATGTAGAGTTTGGTGTTCTTTGGTATCATAAGCTAACTCCAGACTCAGTGCAAACGTAGAGCGAATTATCACTGCGTGTGAAAAGAAACGTGGAGTTTTAAGATGGTTTAACAGACCTTTAAATTAAATCAGAACCTTGAATATAAAATGCACATCTCGTGCTTAACGAAGTCAGCCTGTAAGGATCTTAAGTTTTACTAACGTTTATTTTGTTTTAAATCTTTACTATCACTTCTTATTTTCTACTTCCGGCCAGAATTAAAAGCTTTAACTTATTTATGCAAATTTGTCTTGCGAACGCCAAGTACTTAAATTGTGGCTTTTTGCCAAGCAAGAGAGAGGGAGGCTATTAGAAGCAGGGCCGCTTGCCATAGTAGTTTTACTCGGTTGCTGGTTGCCTTCAAGGCCAGAGGTTTAATCCTCTTGATAATTTTAAACGTATCGTAGTGTTAGCAGTTTCTCTGTACTACATACGGCTTTTGTTAATATACGGCCAATCTTGGAGTAGGCACTTGTTTGATTAATCCAAAGTTAGTTTAGTTAGATTTTTAGTTAATATTTTTATATTATTACGTTAAGACCACAAGTGGTTGGTCTCTGTATTCCGAAGTCCGGAATTCATTGTAAAGAGAGAAAAATAAAGGGTTTCGTATACCCTTCCTGTGTGTATTGTCTACTTCCCAAATTTATTGAACATAGCTTTAGTAAGCTCCCTGTTCCGAGTCAGGACAGTGAATGTTCCCTAAGCAAGTAAGGAGGAACACAGAACCTGATAAGCTCACCATTTGTGGAGAGATAACTTAAAAGTAACAATCAAATTAAAATTCAAATTAAATCAAGTAATCGAAGACTATACAATGTATTTAACGAGAACCTAGCGCAATCTTTTCACCGTCATCACAATTTAAATGTTGACAACTAAAAGGAAACGTCGAAGATTAGAGTCTTCGGCTAGCGAAACCTAGTAATGTGGCTTTGAGTGCCCGAAATACGCTCTGTCTTGTAATCCGAAAACCTCACCTTAAATACTCCTGATACTAAATAAACCTGATTTGCTCTCTGGTAAGGAAACGAAACGGATAAATGACAGTAAATATCTAGATCATAATAGGTGGTTAGATTAACATAATGGAATGCTGTAAGTACAGAAACATCGCGCCGAATGTTCTAGAGAACGTCTATGCATGATAAAATCTGATAAAATTTTCCTTTGTGGTTAATAATAGCAGAAGAAACATATCTTCACCAAAAACCAAACAAAGAAAGAAAGAAGGTGGGCAAACATAGCGGATTTCCTTTAAGCTATAAAGTCAGAACCCGAATCTCTACTAGAAACCAATCGGCACCATTTTTGTAGATGAAGATGGACAGTTATTTATTGATTTTACCTCACATAATGCCACAGTAATGGGTGTTCATTATTCTAAGCTGTACATTCAAATTCGGACAAGCCATAAACGTAAACTTTGACAAACTCAAGAACAAAATAGGAATTTTGCATGACAGTACTCCAACGTACAACACTCATATTTCCCAGAATGCTATTCAGCAATGCGAATTTTAGCTTCTATTTCCCCATTTACTCTGTCATCAGACCTGTCCACAAGGGACGTATTTCATTTCAAAACCTGAAGCAACATTTGCTTTATTCTTGCTACAACCTCGATGATGACTTGGAGGATTATCTTCATTGCTGTAACATGATGGATTAAAGAACCAGGAATGGATTAAAGGCTGTGACGTTTTTTCCTACTGATCCCAGTTCATAATAGATCTGTACGCTATGTGCACTGAAAATCAAAGATAGCTATAAGGAGAACTGAAAAAAAAATAGTTTTATGCATTCATACAAATATCTTAGGCTTAGAAATTACAGAACATGCCTCATATAGAAAATTATATATTACCTAGAAGGAATTACACCTCAAACACAAATACTGAATTATTTTAAGAAAAGTAAAAAGTTCTGTGTCCTACTAGGGAAGTCGCAGTAATATTCTTTTAATTTAAAGAATTATTCATTCACAGTTGAATCATCTAAATTAGAATATCCCTAACATTTCCTTATTTTAAGATTTTTAGTGACAAATGCAAAGAAGATACTTATAGCAAAAATGCACTGTTCACTGACCTTAACAACCGTTTCTTTCCGAAGACAAAGTAAGTAATGGAATAAAAATTGTGCTACGTCAAATTTTTTTCAGAAATCATTATTGACCTCAAAATCCCGCTATCTGAAAATTAAAATTTTTTATGTACTGCCTCATCGTACTGCGAGAAAACTAGCAGAGATTGTAGCACTCAGAAAAGAAACGAAATGAATGAAGATACAAGATAATGCATTCAATCACTCCATAACGGTGTCCGCCGATAACATCGCGGCAAAAACATCGCGGACGAAAACGTCGCGGAGAAAACAACGCAAGGCGAAAACATCGTGGGAGAAATCATCGCAAAGAGAAAACATCGCAGTCCTAAAACATCGTGGTACAAAACATCGTCGTCGAAAATAAAGCGGTTCAAAAACTTCGCAGTTTAAAAACATCGTCGTCGAAAATATCGTGGTAAAAAATAAAGTATATACAAATCATCGCATGACGATAACATCGCAGACGTGCTTTTTCCATACATGCTTTAATAACTGTAAATGAATATTCCCATAAAAGATTTGTGAGCGCAAAATGTAAAGAAGGATAATTTTTACTTTCACATTTTTATTAACTAATAAATTTTTTTCTGAAAAAGTAAGAAGGAAACTTAAGCATAGAAAATTAAATGCAACTTATAGATTATACTTTTCACACGAAAAATTACCAGTAAAAACTTTATAATAAATTATTTATTAATTGCCTTTGTTAGTTTTAACTATGTCGGTTTAAAATTCTATTAAGTGCTATAAGTTGCATTAACTTGCTATGCTTAAGTTTCCTTCTTACTTTTTCACAAAAAATTTATTAGTTAATAAAAAAATGTGAAAGTAAAAATTATCCTTCTTTCCATTTTGCGCTCACAAATCATTATGGGAATATCCATTTACAGTTATTAACGCATGTTTGCGAAAAGCATGTATGAAAAAAGCATGTCTGCGATGTTATCGTCAAGCGATGATTTGTAGATACTTTATTTTTTACCACGATATTTTCGACGACGATGTTTTTAAATTGCGAAGTTTTTGAACCGCTTTATTTTCGACGACGATGTTTTGTATCACGATGTTTTCTCCCACGATGTTTTGTAACACGACGTTTTCGCCTTGCGTTGTTTTCTCCGCGACGTTATCGTCCGCGATGTTTTTGCCGCGATGTTTTCGGCTGTAACCCTCCATAAGATATTTAATATTATACACTGAATGTTAAAACCACCTTTTTTTATTCATGAAAAATTCGGCAAGCTGGTTCAGTGTTGATAACACTGACCGTAAGCTATTTAATAAGATATTTAATATTATACACTGAATGTTAAAACCACGTATTTCGAAACTTTGATTCATGAAAATTCGGCAAGCTGGTTCAGTGTTGAACAGAAGGTAAAATTTGCACAGTTGCAGAAAAACAATTAGTGGCAATGCAAAGACGTTTCCGTGAATATTTTTGTACACGGAAGCAGTTGGCTAGGCTTAGACGCGAAGTCTAAGCAAATCAACAAAGAAGTCTAAGCAAATCAACAAAGAGGACGGATGCTAGCGGAGTTGTGCAGTTGTGTCGTGCAATTTTGGAAGACGAGTTTCGGAGGATTGGGACGAATACATGGGTTTGCTTGCAAGAGAGTGTTTAAAACAAAATGGTGGATACATCGAACACATTCTGCAATAAACTGAACTTCCATGCTTAGTCAATTAATTATGAATTAATTTTGTAATCTTTCGATTATTAGTTAAAGTTTAATAAAAAAAGCAAATGGTGTGACATTTCATGTACCAACCTATATGTATATTGACTCAGACGAAGATCAAAACGGCAACTGAAACTAAACAGAATTCAGCAAAGTACAGCTTATATAGTGAATTCCTAGTATGTGACAAATAACACTACACAAACAGTGAGTAATTTAACAATAAATAATCCTTCATATTTAAACTCCAGATATTTACTTTACTTTTCCAGTTTTTGTCTGCAATGCTTTTACAAATAAAGGCCACAAATTCCTTGTATTACACGAAGAAGAAAAAAAGCTGTGGGACGGTTCATGGTAGACCAATCTATTTGCAAATCTCTTGCAGAGACGGTGTCATGTAAACACGTGATGACTGAAGATTCTACTGAGCAAATTAACGACTTGATCCTAGTTTGTAGGTACTGCAGAAATAATTTGTCCGATTATGGCATTCCCTTTTATTCATTCAGTTCAGAGCTAACTTCCCACGTAATAAATAAGACGTAATGCATGCAACTGTCTTTTCAGAGAATATTTGCTTGTAAGATGAATAGAAAATTAATAAATGCTTCTACACACACTGGCCAATAGATTAGAAAGCTTTGAGATTTTCATTTCAATACGTACTAGGGAGGAAGTATGCGAATTTTTTTTATGACGTGGGTTACACGGGGTTTGAATGCTAGCATAAATAAGGTCAAAGAGTGCTTTTTACGATGAATGAAGTAAAATGGGTTAAAACGGCAGATCCTTTAGAATCTGAAAAAGAGCTTATTGTTGGTGCCCGTTTAGCAGAGGCCTCGATTTCGAAGACAGCAAATCTCACTGGATTCTCAACAGCAGCCATATCAAAGGTTTTCAAAAGTTGAATCAGAAGCCACAGTCCTTCTCTAGTACACGTAACTGCTGTTCGAGCACAGTTTTCCAAGACAGTGATCGGCGTCATCTCCGACGAATTGTACGGCAGAACAGGGACTGTACTTTGCTTCAACTGACACAGATCATCAACCAAGCCTCTTCCCAACAGGTTTCAGATCCAACCATGCGCAGGGAATTTCAGAGGATAGGAACGCATAATCCGGTTGCCTGTGAGAAAACCACTCATTTCTTTCCGACAGGCAAGAATTCGTTTGCAGTGGTGTCGAGAAAGAAGACGCTGGACATCTGAGGATTGCAAACGGGTAATGTGGTCAGATGAATCACGCTACACCTTACTTTGCACTGATGGAAGACGTCGAATTTGGCAAAAACCTCATGAAGCTATGAATCCATCTTGCTTTACTCGTACTGTGTAAGGGTCTGGAGGGAGTATCATGATATGGGGCATGTTTCTCTTGGCATGGAAGTGGTGCCCTGGTGTTCCTCGAGGGAAAACAAGATGATAGGCCATGAGATACCTAGATGTGTTGGCGGATCAAGTGCACCCTGCAATGTTGTATTTTTACCCAGATGGTGACTGATACTTCATGGACGATAATGCAACTATACATCGTGACAGAAGTGTTCAAAATTGGTTCGCTAAACATCAGTCTGATTTCAAATACCTTCCCTGGTCACCGCATAGCCCGGATCTTAACCATATAGAAAATATGTGGGATATGGTGGAAAGATGCATCCGACAATACTCTCCTCTTCCATCTAATTTACAAGATCTAATAAGCTGTATAGCCAATGCATGGTATTCTCTGGACGTAAATGCACTCCAGATGCATGTAGACTCGAACAAATGCCCAAATGAATCAGAGCAGTTATCCGTGCAAGAGGTGGTCAAATAAAATATGGATCTCGTGTTTCTAATTCATTGGCCATGTATTTTGAATTTATTCAAAACAGGAAAAGCACAGAAACGTGCACTTTTGTGGATGTCATTGTGATCAAAAGTAAATTAGAAATTAACTGTTGTAACTATAAATGTATGTAAGCTTTTGCATACCTAACCTTTTTTACCAATAGATCACTTCAACTTTTTGGGCAAAGACCCTCTGAAGTGGATTGTGGAAGATCTAGGAGGCTGGCCGTTAGTAATGGGAAGTAAGTGGAATGAGTCTGCCTTCGACTGGATGGATTCTATCTTTAAATTACGTAAGATAGGATATGGTCATAATGCAATTATGAAGTTGACAGTTGAGGAGGATCCGGAGAACAGAACGGCTAATATATTAAAGGTAAGTATATACATCATATCAGATTACGTTTATTGTAAAAGGTAGATATGTACATCAGATTAAATTAGGTTTATTGTATATGTCATACGTTTCATTTTAAATGAGGATATATTAGTAAAGGAATCCTAATCGAGAACGACTACGAAAGTTTTAAAACATTTTCTGTGAAGAAGAATTAATAAAGTGGAATGGCATCTAGAAAGCGAATTTCAGGTGAATTTTAGGATAGTTCATTGTAAGAAAAAAATCAGCGTTTTACAAAAGACCTGTGTATTTACTTATTTAAACGCAAGATACAAATATGTCAAGAGTTTTAGAATCGCCGTAGGCTCAACATTTGTTTCTTCAACAACTTATTGCATCGAATTTCTTTTGTGCTCAAGAAATATTAGAGCATAGATTTCAAAGTACTATAGAATGAATGCTAGTTTGCTTCTTAAATGTTATAAACTGTAGGAGTTAGACAATATGAAATTATCGGGAATTAAAAAAAAATTCAATTGGCATATTTTTGTCTGTAAATTCTGTTAGAACTTTGAAAACCAGGTATTTTCAAGATATAAATTAATTAATGATTATCAGGCACTTGAATTAAAATGTTGTAAAGGATCATTCCTAATCAGCTTAAATTGACATACTGAGTTTCGCTTTATACCCCTCATTAATCCGCATTTTAAATGAGGAAACGAAATGCAAAAAATGTAAGATGGACCTATCATATGATTGCTTTTCAACACAATTTTCAGTACCATCTTTTAGTGACAGAAAAACATTTTTCAGGTTTCCTGTTAAAGAAAAAATCTTTTTTTTTTTTTTTTTAAATAACGAGGCCCAAGTAGTTTTTTGTACTAGGGAGCCTAAGATTTATGCAAACCTGCAATGTATATCATGGTACATTCTGCTACATTTTATATCATTTATTTCAAATACTTATGCATCATTGATATACAAGTTAATTAGTAGCCAGTTAAAACAGGAAACAATCTTAAAAATTTGAAGTTTAAACTAAATTTTGAGAAATTACTACTTCAGAAATCTAGAATAGCAAAATCAATAAAATAATCAATGCAACATAAAGAATGCTCCCAACATGAATTCAACATGAAATCAACTTAAAAAAAGGTCCATGGTAAAAAGTGTCCATCCTTATGTCTATAGTAAAATTATTATTATTGAATCGTGTTCTATAGAATATTGCAAGAGACTTACTACTCCATAAAAAACAATATTTCCAAACTAAAATTAATTCTAACTTTCATAATACCAGATATGAGATACGTATACCTAACAATGCGACATATTAAATTTATCTAACAACTTCAAATCGGCAATGGTTTGAAAGACAAAATTGAATTTCTGCTTGTAACCACTGCCATTTATTTGATTTTTGCTTACTTTTATGTTAGATTTTGATGTATTTGTTCTTGAAATCGTACACATACTTTCTGCTTCGTACATTTTTTTCTGAAATGTTTTGAGTATCTTGAATGAAATTTTATAAACAAAAATTTGAGACATTTAACATCGCTTGCACATTTTTCTTAACCGTGTTGAAACTGATTGATTTTGATTTATGCAACTGTAAATACAATACATACCGGAGATCGAAAGTCGGCGACATAGTAACATAATAAACACACATACACACACACATTAAAAAAAAAAAAAGTTGGGAGGTTTTAGATTTTATACTATGCCCAAAAGCTGCGTTTTTTAACTTTTGTGTTACCTTTATTTATTAAATATCATATTCTTCGCATTTAAACCATAAAATTAAATTCAACAGCAATATCACAAAATATTTAAAAACAGCATATCTTCAGAATTTTTGACAGAGAGTCTCTCACGCTGGACACAATTTTTTTTCCATACAATGTTGCCATTACTCGCTTTGAAATCGTTGAGTTTGTTAATCAGATATTCGTTAAAGGTTTACATAGTTTAAAATAGGTTAATAAAACAAATTCAAAAAATTCAAAATTCGGGCTTTCAAGTGCCCCAAGTTTGGTTTGAGGATTGGGTTATTCAAAATTTTATCTTCTAGGTCTCGTTGCTTTTTCGCAATGCAAGAAACACATACATTCATGCAGATTCTTCATTATTTCATTTCTTTAAATATAATGCAGGTTTCTAATTTTTGGTTGCAACATTATGAAAAATGATTCAGACTTTTATAGTGAACCAACGCAAAATGCCAAAACGAAAGTAATAGCCCTTCTGGGCAAATTATCTCTTTCGGATAATGATGGGGAAAGGAAATAAAAAATAGCGAAATAAAAATTACCACGACTTGGAATCATTTAGAATCGCAACATGCAGAATTTCTTCAATTACACATTCACACACATAAACGTACGGAAAAAGAATTAAATGCGTCATTAAAGATTTTGTGTCTTACCATATTAATACTACTATATATAAGTAAATTAAGTATTAATACTACTATATATAAGTAACGTACTGTATATAAGTAAATTAAGCTAAAACAAAATTCATATTGGGCATTTCAGTCATGAATGAAATTTTGTTGATCCAGAATTCAGATCAAATACAGCGCTACAGTTACTTGCTGCATCATTTGTGTCGTATCTGGCAACTTGTTACATTCTTCTTCGCTGCTGAACATTACTAAATGCATCCGGATAATAGAAAAAAGTATATTTCTTTTCTAATATCACATTGAAGGAAACCGAACCAGATTCCATTTCGGAGAATTATTTAATAGATAATCATACTAATGATATCTATTAAATAATATATCATGCTAATGATATTTGATGTAAATATTTTATGACGGAAATGATAAAAGAATTGCTTTTCTTTTTTCCAAAATTTTTTGACAATTTGGATGAATCGTGAACTAATAAACAGCTATTTTAAATTTTAAAACTTAAAAAATGCCTTTTTAAGTTAAAAAATTATGTTTTGAAAATATATTCCAAGATCGTTTTCACTAAGAACTATTTATTACCTATTTTTCATAAACAAACTGGTACTAAAATTTCAGTTAATCTTTGGATTATGGTAACTTGGCGATTTTTTGGCGAAACTTTGGCGACCAACCCTGCTAGTTTTTGTTTGGACGCCATTTTGTTTTCACGAAGTAAAGGCATTTTTTTTTTTTTTTTTTTCCCAACAATCTTCTAGCCGAATTAAGCTTATGATAGAACTTTTATGGAACAAAAGTGCTTAATCATGACGAAGATTAGGTGCGAAATTGGGAGAAAGTGCAGAATCGCAAACTGCTTGCCGCGTTTTTAAGAATTGCACATACACGGTATCCATGAACACGTCGACCTATTTTCACTTAAAAAAGAACATCCCAGAATTGCACAAAAATGGCATTGCGCACACTCTTGACTTTATCCATGTACACTGCTAAAGTCCTAGCTAGTAACTTTTATCGCCTTATCAAAATGTCGCCAAACTACCTGTTACCATATGCCAAAGATTAGCCAAAATTTCTAATATGGAAAGTACTAAATTCTGTAATTCTTATTTCTTTCTTTCAATTTCTAAAGTTGGAACCGTCGTTAAGAATAGATGTTAGAAACCCGAAACCCTTCTTGCAGAGAAACATTCAGGGGATGAATAAAGCAGCTTTGGATTTGTATTCCTTACGGGACGCTGATAGAAAAGAAATTATTCAATCGCTTCATACGGAACTTACGCTTTCCCGAGTAAGTACAAAATATTCTTCATTTTATTCTTAATGTATTTATGGTAGAAGCTGGAAGTAGCTTTTCCAGTTTATATGCTCGTTATTACTAGAAAGGGAACAGCGATTTTATTGATCAGTGGTAAATTTCTTTATTCTTAAAGTAAAGATGAAATTACATTAATATTTTAAATGCATACATGTCATTAACAGATATGATTTCGTTCAAGTTTCCGTAAATAATGACTATATAATAACAGAAATAAATTTACAGTTTATTATAATTAGTGATGATGCACAGTAAAATTAATAGTTGTAAAATAGTTCGAGGAGAAAGCGGAGATTAAGCTAATTCTCCAAACAGCACGAAAACTATCGTAAATTCATAAAATCCCCCTCGGAATAAATTAGAAACACACTTCTGCAAACTGTCTTTTACTTTCAAAGTGTCAGAGCTTATTAATTTACTGGATCTGGCTCTAGGAGTCGTTAATATATATGGTGTTCCACGGGCTTCTAGAAACTTCGGGAAAAATCGCTGTTGGAGCCCCGAAAGTTGCGTTTTCCCAAATCTTACAAAACAAGTTGCTGAGTCAGCAAAAAGTTGCCAAGGCCTGCTAGGAGCATTTTTGTTTATATCTTACGTTCTAGTAGCACTATTTTAGATTTTTACATATTTTTATACTTATAATTTAAAGGTCTAAAATTCTGTACAAAATACACTTTTATACAAAACATGTGGCTACGAAGTCAGTTACGAGTACAATAATTCATAAATCTGTTATTTTAAAAGCAACACAGTAAAGAAGTTACTAAATAAAACAATACAGTAAGACCCCGCTTAACGCGGGGGATACGTTCCATCAAAGTAGAGCGTAATGCGAAACAGCGCTAAACGAGGCTATCTTTACATGTAAATATTGGGGTTAGGGGAAGATGGCTAGGAAATTGGTTAGGTATTAAATTTAAAAAAGTATGTTTTTTTAATAAAATAAAACCAAACATTTATTTCTTAAGCCCAAATTAATACCACCCATTATATTTCTTGCAAAAATAAAAACAAAATATAAATAACAAAACGATATTCTTAAAAAAACAAATAAAATTCTAAGTCAGTCATATTTAGTTAGCCTTCCGCGTTTTCAGTGTTCTGCCTTTTTGTGACAAAAGGATCTAATGTTGTTTGCCTTTTTTCTTTGCGTTGTTCTCTTAAAAGTTCTTCATAACGGATAGAGCATCTATAAACACCACGCCTTACTTTTGAGCTCCTGTCAAAATTCGGATCATTTTCAATGAATTGATCCATTATTTCAGTTATGGTAGACAAACTCCTTTTACAAACGCCATCGAAAGTTCTTTTTGCTCTTCTTCTGAATCACTGCTGTCAACACTTTTGTTTTCTTCTTGTTCAGTTAATTCCTTGAGCTCATCATTAGAAAGACTAGCCGCGCTTCTTGAATTATTTCTTCGACATCTTCCACATTTACCACTTCAAAATATGTCTGTACAATACCGCACCAAACAAGAAATACAAGTACAATCTTTCGGATATGTATTTGAAACCTATCGCTGCATAATATTTCGGGGAATCCCCGTATGCTGCGAGCGATTTCGTGGAATCCCCGGGTTGAAATAAAAGAGCGCTAAACCGAAACAGCGCTAAACGAAACAGCGTTAAGCGGGGTCTTACTGTACCCAATTTTTCATTTCTTAAAATTATATACATAATGTCGAAAGGATTGGATTGGATTATTCAATTATGGCAAAGCACACGAGGGCTATCTGCCTAAAGGGAGGGATGCCTTCGTGGAGGACTTTCTAAAGGAAACTGGCTCGTATACACGTTACACATGAGAAAAACCGCATTAATCGTCCCAGTTTAATGTTTTAAATACTAACTCCTTGAAATGTTCTGTTCGAAACATTAAGCAAAGAGGGATTAATATTAAACGTGTATTTTTAATTGTTCATTCTTTAATTTAATTGTTTACACCACTTTCTCACATTTTTTTTCGCTTTCATTACAAATGTTTGGCTTATATCATAGAGTTGATAATTTTTAATTTTAAATTTACACCATTATACCTACAGAATTTTCTTCACATAGGATAAACAATTAAAAATAATTTCCTTTTTAAACTAAAACTCTCTCTCTCTCTCACTATATATACTATGTATATAGTCATTATATTATTAACTATACTATATCATATATATAGTATAGTATATACATGTGCTCCTGTGGATATATATATATATCCACACAAGTATATGTATATAATTTTAGAATAATAATTTAAATTATTTTATTTTTCATAAATATGATATTGGAAATAGTAAAAAGAACATAAAATATTTAAAAAAAAACTATATAATAAAACATAAGATTTTAGAAAATGAAACAGTGAGCTAAAGATCTGAACTTTGGACACACTATGTTCATTTTAATTGTGTTAATTTTCAAGGGGATGGGTGGAATTAAAAGGATAACAATGGTTCCAAAAGAAAATTTTTTTTCTTAAACTTGGTTATTAAACTATTACTATATATATCACATATATGCCGACATAGACACGTATGTTTATGATATATAGTATCTCTCTCTCATCCTTTCCCCCGCACTGTTTCAAACGAAAATGTGATTACTGATTTTATCGTCTTAAGCTAGGCAAAGGTAAAGAACTATTTAAATCTTTTAATTAATTTAAAATGATTTATTATCTCGAGAATTGGCAGCATCATAGTTTTGTTAAAAATATTAGGGTAAACATGTGCAGCTCTTACGTGGTATATCAGATAAGGTATTTCAGAATAATTCTACTTAATATGTAATAATTAAATTCTTTCTAAAGTTAAAACCACTCTCTATGGAAATGAGATGGGTTTTCTGGTCTACTCCTTAAATGACAGTCCTTTTTCTAATGCCAGGCTGGAGACAATCCACAAAGAATTAGCTAAAAGTAAACTAGAATATCTTTATAAGGTTTGAGTTATTATTTTTAATAATACTGTTGCGTGCGTACGGGTTCGTTATAAAATGAATGCACAAGTCCGGTGAAAAATGAACAAAAATTTATTATTATCACAACAAAAATGCTTAAATATTCTCAAATTATCATGCAGTATTACAATATCTCACAGTAGTTATCTTTTAACTACTTAAATGTCCAATAGAACATAATTCAAAACAGCTAAAGAAAGCTAATCCGCGAATTCGCTACAATCAACAAGAGCAGTTTTCTAAACAACAACAAACTAAGCAACTACTACGAACTGAGATGTTTTCCTCCTTTTATAAGATTTTAAAATCACACGCTAGAATTTTCCAGTACTTTCTCGAAATCAAAAAGAGATATTTATTTATTTAATGCACGCGCTCTTGTATTTTTGGCTTAGCTTTCTTCTTTTAATATTCGTCACGCGCTGCACTGCGCGGTAAATAAAACCAATTAATTTATAATTGAACTAACATTAGCTTTTTAAATACCAAATTCGTAAAACACTGCCCCCTTCCCAAGGACTGCACGTCCCGGGCAGTACAATCCCTGGACAGGAAGCTAAACTTACAACTGTGGCATAAATGCAACTGAGGCATAAACATTACATTACAATATCAAACAACATGAACAATAAATGCAAAACTAACTTAAACAAATCAAATGCTATCAAATACTAAATACAAAACAATACTAAATACAATCAAATACTAAATGCAAATCAAATACAAATACACATTTAATAAACAAAAAGGACCATGGTCTGATACTATTTACAATTATTTACATTACGTACTATGGCCATAGTAATGAGCTAACCTGTCGTAATGAACGACTTTAGGTTTAGAGTTCGAAGACTTACTAATCCGAACCATGACGTCATTTAGTCTGTTCAGCACTGTATACGGATCATCCGAAGGTGACTGTAATTTAGCTCCGTCGCCAAGTTGACTCGCTTTCGTGCAGAACGGTGCATCCCCTCAAACCGGGCCTGGACATCTTGGGTGTGTTCCTCAGGCGATGAAGGCGCATCCGTAGGGCGACCAAACAGGCGGTCACAAGGCAGACGAAGGTCTCACCTCGACCGAAGAGTTTCTGAGATGGAGAATAGCTGGTAGTCTTGCGTTTCTTTTCGACCCTAGCATGATTTCGGCGGCTTCCCGAGCTGGGTCTTTCGGACAAGGCGTCGGCATTTCCAAGTGAGGATCTCTTCTGAGGATGGATAGTCATGTCACCAGATGCTGAAAGCAGTTTGTTGTTTTTGAAGTCTAAGGAAAAATTGTATTTCCTTAAAAAGTCCAATCCGAGTATGCATGGATCTGTGATATCCGCCACATAAGCCGTGTGATGGTAGGGGGCACTTCCAAATGTGATTTTCACGTTTAACTTACCAGCTATGTTGATCTTATCATCAGACGCAGTCTGAAGGGTAACACAGGATGGCGTCCAAATAAGTTTATCTTTAAACTGTTCAGCTAAGTCTTTCCTAATGATGGTAACATTAGCTCCTGTGTCAATGATCATATCACAAGGAACTCCATCGATATTCCCATTAATGGACAGTCCGTTACTGTTGCCACTCACTGTATAAATTTTAAACGCTTTAAAACAAGGTTTTTAATTCTGTGGCAACCTCATTCCCTTGATATGGTCACTAATTTGTTTCCTGTATGGTTGCTGGGAACTGGTCTCAATTTTCGTACCCTGGGGTCTTCTGCAATTCTTTCGTACGTGGCCTTCAGCTCCACAGTTCCAGCACTTTGGTTTCTTGTCAGTCCTTTTCTTTCCCGTGGCATTTAATTGTCTGCTTAAATCGTATGCCTTAGTTTCCGTGTCCTGGGGTGTTCTGCAGTTCCTTCGTAGGTGGCCTTCAACACCGCAATTCCAGCACTTTAGCGTCGGTTTCTTTTCACCACTATTCCGTCTTAAAGCATTCACTGGGCTTGTCAACTCATTCGTTTTATGATCCGTGCCCTGGGGTGTTCTGCAATGCCGTCGTAGGTGACCTTCACTATCACATCTCCAACACCTTAGAGCCACTTTCTTATCGCTCCTATTCCGTATCAAAGCGTCGACTTGTCTGGCTAAATCATCTAAACGAGCCATCAGTTGATCCACTGGCTCATGGACTCGCACAGCTCTAACTGGGTAGCGATATCTACTAGTTCCTTGCTGAGCTGCCTCGAACTTCGTGGCGCAACAGAGCGCTTTTTATGTCCTTTACATCTGCCATTCGAAGCGCTTTCTGTATTTCAGGATCCCGGATGCCATCGATGAAATATTGCAGCGACAGGATTTCCCTCGTTTCTCTCAGGCACTCCGTAAAGGCGAGGAGGGATGCCTTTCAAATCCGTGGCGAGTTCCTGGAGTGATTCGGTGGGCTTCTGTTGACGGGATTTTAATTGAAGCCTGCTGTAGTCTTTTAAACATTTCTCGCCGAAGCGCAGCTCCAAAGTGCCGGATAGAGCTTCGAAATCTAGCCTTTGATTTTCGGGAAGCGTCTGCAGGATATCCGCTGCGTCTGCTCTCAGAGAAGCGGCGAGATGACAGGCCTTAGCTTGGGAATTCCATCCATTCGCATCCGAAACGATAGAAAATTGTGTTTTATACACTTGCCAGGATGTCTTCCCATCATATGTGGATAGCTTCAGAGATGGACGAGCAGGCATCGGTAAGAATTTAAAACCATCAGAATTGCTTCCTTCTGTCACTATGCTCTTCTTTAAAGTGTCAAATTCTTTGGCAACAGCAGCAGAAACCCTTTACTCAATTTGTTGTTTGACGGCAGAAACTCTTTGTTCAATTTGTTGCTCTACCGCAGAAACTCTTTCTTGAATTTCTCCAACTTTGTCTTCAACTGTATCTATTCTTCCTTCCATAGCTTCGAACTTGTTTTCTATTATGCAAGTAATTTCTCTCTTCAATTCCTCTTGTCCCGCTTTCATTTCTTCCTTAACGGATTCCTGGCCCAATTTCATCTGTTCCTGTGTCGCTTTCCTTTTTTCCTTAAGGGATTCCTGGCCTAATTTCATTTCCTCTTTAACGGATTCCTGGCCCAATTTCATTTCTTCCTTAACGGAGTTGACGGCTCCTTCCATCTTTTCTTGGAAAGCAGTAAATGTAGTCATCATTTGCCTGAATTGTTCTTCCATCGCTCTTGGATTGGCATTCAAAATCCCACTTCTGACACCAAAAATTGTTACGTGCGTACGGGTTCGTTATGAAATGAATGTACAAGTCCGCTGAAAAATGAATAAAAATTTATTATTATCACAACAAAAATGCTTAAATTTTCTCAAATTATCATGCAGCATTACAATATCTCACAGTAGTTATCTTTTAACTACTCAAATGTTCAATAGAACGTAATTCAAAACAGCTAAAGAGAGCTAATCCGCGAATTCGCTACAATCAACAAGAGCAGTTTTCTAAACAACAACAAACTAAGCAACTACTACGAACTGAGATGTTTTCCTCCTTTTATAAGATTTTAAAATCACGCGCTAGAATTTTCTGGTACTTTCTCGAAATCAAAAAGAGATATTTATTTATTTAATGTTAAATGCACGTGCTCTTGTATTTTTAATTCTCCGGCTTAGCTTTCTTCTTTTAATATTCGTCACGCGCTGCACTGCGCTGGAAATAAAACCATTTAATTTATAATTGAACTAACATTAGCTTTTTAAATACCAAATTCGTAACACTACGTTGATCGAGAGTAATTTTATTCTATTTATTTGTTTGAATGCAGACTTCAGTATTTCCTCTCAGCATCTGAGGACGACGTAACAATAAAATTTCTGCAGTATTTAAAGCAGTTTGCTCGAAAACCTGATCCATCGATCCTTTAAGCAATATAAACGAATTCTCAAAACATGATCACCGCCACTTATCTTTTATTTGTAAACAATACTTCGTAATACAAGAGAACATCCTAAAATCAATGTCGATAAATGAAAGGCAGAGTTACGTGGATTTAAAGTTTAAACAAGACACTGGAATGAAATGCGGAACGATGCCTCAAATGAAGTACATTCAAATTTGTACTTAACCAAGATAATCCAATCCAGATACATTTCGTAAAATTTGTCCTTGCTTCTAAGAAATCTTATAAATTTTAGCCCTCTTTTTTATTAATTTATTCTATCATTTTCAAACTCTATAGTCTTCTAATTTTTGCTTTCGAAAATTTGAAACTGTTTCATACTTCTTTTTACAGATGGCTGTCAATAACAAGAGCGAGGAAGATGCTCCATATAAGAGATACACTGTTGCAGAGTTTATAAATGAATCACCAAAGGTAATAAATACTTTTGTGTTCAAAATGAAGATAATTGTTGTTGTAGGTTATTTTATTTTATTCTTTAGCATGTACTTTGCTGTGTTATTTTGTCGAATAATTTAATGCAGGAATCTCAAAGCTGTGACCCGTTTTCCCGGCACCCCGAAGCAATTGCCTGCGAATGCATTTCACTTATGTAATTGTTGTAAATAGTTGCAGAGATGTACAAATATCGACTAATCTTGCGTACGTGACTGTTATAGAAGGAAGATGAGGTAGAATATAAACGACAAGGCTTGTAAAAGGAGCTGTAATAAAATGGTTTTTTGATTCAATAAATAAAATCAAAATTTTCATGACACAAAAAACGTAAAACCATCAACGAGCTATACATTGCCACAGGCACACAAAGAAAACGGGGGGGGGGAAAGAACTTTTATACCTCTCTTTCTACTGGGCCGATTGACGAAATTTAACATGCATTTGTCAAGTACCAAAAGTGCGACTTAGGATATGTATTAGGCCCACCAGCGGCCGAGCCGTAATGTCGCTGAACACTGGTAGTTCGATCCGAGATTCGAATCCCGCGAACGGGCTGGCTGCATGGGCGTTTTCGTGGTTTTCCCCATGTGTAACGTGTATACGAGCCAGTTTCCCTTAGAAAGTCCTCCACGAAGGCATCCCTCCCCTTAGGCAGATAGCCCTCGTGTGCTTTGCCATAATTAAATACACCTACCTACACAAAACTTGGCATAATTTGAGTCGCATAATCGAAATAGGGGATTAAAAAAAGTACGTCATTTCAGAAAAAGTTCTATTTTGTTTCAAAATACCTATGTTGAAACAATGTGGTATATATGAATGTAATACATATCCTATGTGTGTGTGTGTGATTATGGCAAAGCCTCGAGGGCTATCTGCCTAAAGGGAAGGATGCCTTCGTGGAGGACTTTCTAAGGGAAACTGTCTCGTATACACGTTACACATGGGGAAAACCACGAAAACGCCCATGCAGCCAGCCCGTTCGCAGGATTCGAACCTCGGGCCGAACTACCAGTGTTCAGCGACTTTACTGCTCGGCCGCTGTTGGGCGCCAAGTTTTGTGAAACTCACACTAGTACATCAAAAGCATCACCTCTTAAAATTTTATCTCCTCGGCGTTAATTGAACGTGGTTATGTGTTTATTAATCTTTTTTTTTTTTTTTTTATTAAACTTACTGGATTCTTTCTTTCACTATTCGAAATTTAAGTTCAAACCAAATAAAATTCGCAAGTACGTTCTGATTTGTTTTTAAAATTTGTATTTTTCAGTAATTTTTATAAAATTTTCGAAAATATTTTTACGTATAAAAGTTTAATAAATATTTTTACGTATAAAAGTTTAATATCACTTTAAAGTAAACGTATTTCTAATCACACATGCAAAAATTAAAGTTCTTTTTATTCAGAATTTCTAAAGATATATGCAGATTTATATATTGGCGCGTTTTGAAATTTGGCATATTTGCTATAAACGATAATTACGCCAAATGTGGTTTATGCACTTTGTTAAAATTATTTGAAAGTATGAACGATGCATTTTTTTCCACTCGTGCACAAATAAAAACTGGGAAAGGAAAACAGGTTACTGTAAATTAAGAATTTCGCCAAGGGAATTATTCTTGGCCGAAAATGAAAAAAGTGCGCCAAGATAAATTTTTAAATTTCTACATAAGTTTCTCACCAAATTTGGCAAAATTTAATATTTTGCATAAGTTGAGTCATAGAATCGAAATATAGGAAAACAAAGGAGTATGCCATTTCAGAAAAAGTCTGAGTTTGTGTGAAAATATCTATATTAGAACGTTATATATAAATATAGTATATAGTCTAAGGAGCGCTTTTGAGATATGGAAAATGCAAAAATGCAAATTAGATTTCTTCAATCGGCACAATAGAACGGGAGATCTACATTTGTATCTCCATTTTTATGTGCAGACTGTACATAATAATGCATGGATAATAAATATATCATTTCTTGTCGACTTAATGATCACTTAAGAGCTCTGAATAAAGAGATGAGAGGAGAGTATAAATTACCACTGAGGTTTATGCTTGTATCAGATGTTTCAATATTAAATTAAGGTTTCGGAAAAGGGTCGTAATAACGAGAATAAAAATTCTCATACATTTCCTGTATATTAAATCCTTCCTCATTATTTCAAATGAAATGAAGAATTCATGCAAAAACTAGCATTATTACGAGAAGAGTTTGAAGAAATGTTTAGATTTTAATGAAGTGGAGTCTAAAATTTTCCTCTCCATTAGAAACGAACATGAATAACAAACGCTACAGTATATCTTTAAATGGAGCTAATTAACTTATAGTGTAATATAAATCAGTACTTTTCCGTTTTGCCAGCGCAGGCGATAAAGTCGCCAATAATGGTACAACTGATGCCAAAGGGAATATCCTCGCTGGTAACCTTTTACTCCTCATTTTCAAAACAAGTCGCAACCATTTCTTATCAAATTGATTGTTTCTTTCAATACTGACATACAATTACATAGAATTTTTACAAGATAGTTCAATTTTATGCTTTAAGGTCAATCTAATAACAATGCACTAGCGAAAAAAAGCACTGCGATTTTACATAATTTCTGAGTAAGCTATTCGTATGCATTGAAATAATTCTTGCATTTAAACTTGTTTGAATTAAAATTTAACTTGAAATTAATGTAGATAATTACTGAGAGAATTGGGTTTTTGTAGCGTAGTTTACGTGAGATGTGATCACTTGGAGTCACGTGAATCAGGATGTTGTACCGTGAAAGCATAGTAAATTCTTAAATTAATGACGTTTTACAAATTTTATTGTCTTTATTTATTGGCTTTTTATAAAATTTGAACGATATTAAAATGTTTATGCCCTCAAAATAAAAAAAAATCTTAGAACCAACATCTGTTAACATTTTATATGTGTATGCTCTGTGTTGTCGCCAATAAAGTTTGTTTGGCGAGATTTGCGCCGGCGAAACGGAAAAGTACCTACAAATCTTAGTAAAAATTATACAGATACAGATTTCATTAATTTTTATTCACCCTTTTCAAAAGGTAAAACATTCTCACACGAAGTTTTGCAATGAGAACCATCACTTTGTTCAGGAGTATATTTGCGCATGGAAATGTTTTCCTTTCCGTGCTTGAAAATTAATTAGAAAAGAACCATATCGACAGATGAGAATCTGCAATCCATCATAAAGACAGTTTCTAATAATTTTTCTCTAAGTTTACAAAACTTTATTAGAATCGAACCACTGTCAAGTATCAAGTTTTAGTTAAAAATAAAGAAGTACAATGTTCCTCGATACTTGTTTAGATCTAACGCCGAGGAGTTTAGTGAACTAATTATCGCTGAGTTCCAATTGTTACTACAGAAACGTGGGAAGGATTAAAATACCCTTTTATTCACTCAAAGAAATATTAACAATTTATTCACTCAAAGAAATATTAACAAATGGCCCCCTTCTCGGGCTTACAGGAAAGCTTCCACTTCGGCTTTTAAATCAGGATAACGAAATAAGAAACTAATGCTAAACTAAATAGACTTAGCCGAAGCTGGACGCAAATACCTAACGTAGTTGGCTCTTAAATTAAAGTAGCCGGCTATTCTCAACAGGAACATACAATACCGTGGAGTGTAATCGATTCAAAGACGAAGTAGCCAGAGGGCAAATTCGCGCAACTAAGCTCACGTGACTCCTAAGCTCGCGACTCCTAAGCTCTCTCTTACTTACTCTCTGCCGTAAGTAAGCTCTCTCTTACGTACTTACGGCAAACTCGCGACTCCTAAGCTCTCTCTTACTTACTCTCTGCCGTAAGTAAGCTCTCTCTTACGTACTTACGGCAAACTCGCGACTCCTAAGCTCTCTCTTACTTACTCTCTGCCGTAAGTAAGCTCTCTCTTACGTACTTACGGCAAACTCGCGACTCCTAAGCTCTCTCTTCTGAAGTAAATTGAGCTTCCTTTAAATACTTCTTCTAACTCATTTGCATTCACCGAGATTCTAAAAAGTCATTCTGGTAAGGAGTTGTAAGTGGGAAACAAGAATTGAAAGGAAAGGGTTTCAAAATTAAAAAATAACTGTTATAAAATTAAAATACTCATAACAAAGTTTCTAATGATTTACGTATAGATATATGTATTTTTTTTCCATGTGTCGAAAAAAATTTTGATAAATAACGGAAATAGCATCGGTCATCATTGTTTATTCTTAGATTATGTCTCATTTGGAAAGTTTTCTCTGAAAACTTCGTAAGTTTCCATTATTTTTTTATTTTAAGTAAAATAATTTATTTAAGAATTTTATTTAATTTTAAGAAATGCCTTGCTTGTACCGATCCTTAGATTTCATATAGAAAATAGATATAAATTTCAATTTTTCTTTCCATTATTATTATTGTGATTTGATTTGATAAATATGTGATCTCATAACCAATTATTAAGGTAAATTTAAAATTTCGTTTAACCTATTATAAGATCTGTTCTTCTTAGGGAACCTACTATTAGACCGGAACTCTAAAAGACAAATGATGACTATTCACGGTATCTGCATAAGTATCACGAACACAGGGAAAGGGTGTAACGGATTTTTTAATTAATCCAAATAAAGTTTAACAGACGGCACCATTTGGTACTTGCAAAAGCCAACACTTTTGGCTTTAGGTTAAAGATAATGAATAAACTAAAGGTAATAAAATTAGAGTAGTCTAAGACTTCACAGTTTAATTAGCGCTCCAAGCAGGTTGAACGCGCTCTGATTTCATCCTCCCAAACCTTCATTTAAATACTTCCTTTTTTCTACTTAATTTGAATATCGCGCGCGCTGGGAACTTACATTTTGGTAGGGAAATGAAACGAGGCTTATTTTACAAAGAAACGAGGAGGAAATTTATTTAAACTGGGACATATAGTCAGCATCCAGTTAACAGATGGTGGATTATCCGGGCTTTGTCTGAATACTTTAGGATTGTTTATTACAGAATAATTGGAAAATCACTATGAGAAATCACCAGAATGTAGCAAACGTTTTAGAGGAAGTGGAAGAAGGATACGAAAGAGCGTAAGATGAAAACAGCAATAGCAGATGATATCACAGTATTTAAGAATTGTTTTTATCGACGACAGCACGCAGTTTAATTGCTCATAATTCTGGAATACATAAATGTTGTTAAATGATCCATTTAAAAGAAATTGCTAACTTAGAAGGTCCTAATTTTGTAGTATTAGCTAAAATATCGTTCTAGTAGATTGCAAAGACAGTTATCGCTTTGTCTAATGTGGATTATAACATATTCTATGAAGATTTAAAAAAATCTTTTTATTGAATTCGAATTTAATGAGAAAGTACCACTTTTGTATACTAAAAAAAAAAAGCAACTTACAAGCGATTAAATAACAAAGTTGAAATGATTAAACAAAAATACTGTAGCCAGAGAATACGCCAGCCTCTGGAATACGCGCCCAGCGTGCAGACCACTACACTACGAAGGCGTGCTAAGAAGGCGGGAGAAATATCTAATGTTCTACACTTATAAGTGTTGTTTTTGAATATTTTAAGTGTACAAGAACTGCATTTTTATTTACGCTGTCCGTATTTTCTCATATGTGTGACAAAAGTTCAAATGATCCCGAACATATCAGTTCGAGTTTATCTGATGAATACCATCTAAGGACAATAACGGCAACGAACAGTCAAGGAAGAAAAGAAAGAGCCGACCTATGGAAAAAAAAAAAAAAAAAAAAAAAAAAAAAAAAAACAAATGATAAATGAGCCGCAGTGAAGGAGAGAGTTATATTTGAACATGAGGAAATGTTATTCCTCTTCGAAATATTGGTTCATAGAAAATACAATATCACAAGTAGTGATGCTGAAAAAACTGAAAGTGAATTAATTCTACGATGAATAATGATACATATCTTATGATATGATACATACAAAATAATACAATACATATAATACACATAATGATACATATAATGATACTAATGATACATACATATAATACACATAATGATACATATAATGATACATATATATAATGATACATACAAAATAACCTTCATTGGTTTATGATGACACGTAATATTGACAAGAATACCGAAAGGAACCTTTCCTAACAATAGAATTTCTTCGAACTAGAAATTTTACGCACGATAGACTTCATTTAAAACCCTATTTCAAATCTATATCTGATGTTCTACACTTAAATTTCTTTAAAACTTTAAATGTATTGCCTGGAGAGCCTAACTTCTCAATAATTTCGTTTACAATATGCTGGTTTCGTACAATAAACTAGTTTACAATATACTAGAAATTTAGTTTTCTGTTTGTGATTAATGATTGGAAAATGCTATTTGTGTGAATAAAAGTGAAAATTTTCAAATGTTTTTAACAGATTGACTGGCTTCGATATTTTAGAGGAATCGTTGGGTATGATATCGGAGAAAATGAAACCATTCTTGTTACCCAACTCAATTTCTTCCGTCTCTTGGGTTATTACCTAGAAGGACCGAATAAAAGGTAAGAGAAGACTTATGAGAAACTTATGATGCCGACAACTTGTGTGAACATTTGCCCTGAATTGTTAGTATTTTTTAATAGTTTTAACTTGTTGTGTGGAATATTTTATTTATCGGTTGCTTTTTGTACAGTAATTTTTCTGTACGTAAAATGCGTGCATGTTTTGGATTCGTGGGTTTCTTTTAGAACTTTTAATTCTCAATCGATTAATATCGTAATTGTGAAAGCAGCTAAAGTAGAACTCTAGAAATGGGATGAAGATCTCTAAATGGGAGTTGTCGAATATTTTGTTCCCAATTTGGCTGCAGATAGCAATTTATCACCTATGTGGCAACATTTTGGAGTTTTTGTAAAAAATATCTTTTGAATACCATAAGAGCAATTTTTCTATTTGATTCCTTATTATGATGTACTTTATACCGAGGTTGAAATATATTACAGAAAAATTATTTACAATACATACAAATGCATGATGTTTGTGATATAAATATAACAATCATAAATAATATGTCAAAACTATTTGACGTAAATTTATCAATTTGACGTTAATTAATCAAGTATTTGACGTTTATTAATCAAGTAAGGCAGTTCCGGTAGTGCCTGTCTTCTCAACAGCTGTGTAAATTGATAGCTGCACTGGAACCGAAATTTAGCTTGCTGAAATTATATTTTTAATCCTTTATATTCACCTCACAATGTTGTTTATGAATAACAGCCTAAAGAATGTTACAGACTTTTGAGTTTCTCAAACTTTTTAGCCCTATGTACCCTTTTCATTTTTGCTAGAAGGTCATTCAATCCTCCTTTCCCAAACTCGAAATATAAATATTAAATTATTTAAATTAAATCACTTTTAAACTATTTTATGAATCAAATAACAAAAAAAAAAAAAAAAAAAAAAAAAAAAAAAAAAAAAAAAGAACATATAAAATTTTTATAAATACGAAAACTTGAATAAATGTTGTATTTTATATTCATAAACATTAGCTAAATACTTAATAGATCCGAAGAATTCTGATCGCATTTCCGTGAAAGCTATGAAATTCCCTTTAAGAGGATTTCCTGCTATGAAATTCCCTTTAAGAGGATTTTCCTGCTTGTTCAGAATCCCTTTATAGACGATGTCTTTAAGACTTAATGCAGTCTTACAGTCGTTGTTGTACACGTAAATTGTGCTGCTTTTTAAAAATGATAGATGAGTATTATAGCGCACAATTTCTATAAAGGAATTTTATTTCATAATACATCATAGTGATAAACACTTTTGACTCCTTAAAAATTTTTATGCCTTTAATATTAAAATTGTATTAAACCGTAATAATTAATTTTGCTTGAATTTTATAGTAATTATTTTTTTAAAATTTATTTTTAGTTCTACATAAGATTTTTTTTTATTTACTGTTAATTTAATTTATTAGCCCAAAGGGATGCATGAATACATGCATGCTTCTTGCACTGTGACAAAAACGACAGTATCTAGAGCCATCAAATTTTGAATAATGTAATCCTTCACCCGGACATGGGCATCTGGACGGCTGAATTTCGAATTTGTTTTAATCTATTTCATATTTTGTAAACCTTTAACGAATTTTCGATTAACAAACTCAACGAGTTCAGAGAGAGGCACTGTACAGAAAACAGTTTTATCTCCCAGTGCGGAAATTCTAAAGATATACTGTTTTCAAATATATGTGGTTTACGGGCGAAGACCATGATATTCAATAAATATAAGTAACACACAAAACGTTAAAAAAAGGTTCCTTTTGGGGGTAATATAAAATGAGTGTTTCTAGATTTTATTTTACTTTTTTTTCCCCTTCATTACACTCAGAAAATTTTATGATCCGAATTTTATAAATTACTAAAATAAATATTTCACTTTAATGTTATTAAGTTAGTGATGATATAATCAAATAAATGATTATTTTGTAATGTTATTATAGTTTTGAAAATCACTGCCTGAAAATGGTCATTAAATTAAAAAAAGAAAAGTTATCAGATCTTGTTTAATTTTATTTTATTTATTTCAAAGCATCACGTACTATCAATCTTATTAAATTTTACGTTATTTGTACGCAAAATTAAGTTCATAAATTTTGTGCCTAGCGGTTTTACCGTTTTACCAAAGTAAAGATGTTTGTACAAGAATTACGCGTGAAAAAAATGCGCGAAATGCGTAAAAAGTGCTTTAATGAGATATATTAAATCCTATTTCTAAAAAACTGTGGCTTTCATAATCTCATCACTATACAACGTATCACATTTAATAATTAAAAAGAGATATGTGATACAAACTCCATAGATTTCAGTGTTAAAGTAAACCAGATCGTTCCTACTCTTTCTTGCCGACATGTCGGGGACGCGCGCCCCGCCCACTGGGTTAGTCTATCTCTTATAAGGTCCATCGTCCGCATCTCGTACCATCACACCAGCTATGGGAACGGTGTACTAGTGTAAAATGAAGGCAGGATTGAGGCGTTTACTGCGGGGCGTTCATAAACATACACGACTGTCATAGCTGTCCAACTTGAGGCTCGATTCCTGAAAACGATCTTGTTCCATTCGATTGTTATTCAATCATGTCAAGCGCCATTACAACTTTCAACGGTGGTGACGATGGGTAGGTGTCATTGGTAGTAAAGGTTTATTGTAGAAGAGATGACTTTCAGTCACGCGTTTCACGATGGTACAGTTTATACAGAAAATGCTGCATGAATCCGGAGGCGACAATGATGCATTTCATGCTGTATGTGGTTGTCGGGTGATGTGACCATCCTCTTCGCTACTGGTCTGCCCAGGGCATTCTGAGGCTGGTTGTTATGTATGCGACATCTATCTCATGCACTGGCCCCAATCTCCTTACAATAAAGTCAGAACGACATATGTGGTGTCTTTCCGCATGGCTTTGCAGTGTAACTGGAAGCATGCTCGACGCGGATTCGGGAGGTCCGGAGTTCAAATGCCTGTGAAAGAGCACTGCACATTTTTCACATAATATAAGCTAATAACTGGATACTTACATTCAGTTAGCAAAATGATTTTACGTGTTATATTATTGAGGAAAATTACGCAAACCATCAATAAGAACAGAAGAAAAATTATATTGAATAATTTTTCTTCTGTTCATAAGCCCTATACATCATAAGCCCTTTTTTATTGTACAATTGAGAGAGATATTAGGTATTTTTGAAGCAGGAGAGATGAAAAATGAGCAATGCCGTCGCCGGGACTCCAACCATGGACCTCTCGAATTCGCGTCGAGCGTACTGACTACTGCACCACGAAGGCATGCTAAGAAGGCGTGAGAAATACCTTATACAATGTTTTCACCATTATTTGTTTAATGCTTCTTTCTACGTTGGAAAGATTTAATGCAATTCGCTTTTTCACAAGTATATCAAGAGGCTCATGAGATCATGCTCTGGGGCTTCATGGTGTCCAGCACACAAAATTGCATGAGTTACATTATACTAACTTTAAGCTGCATTATACCAGGTTTTATTATAAAACATAATTTTCCAAACAACCATATATGAAGTAAGGGCTTCCTATTTAGCATTATTTTATAATTTACAAAGGCCACGTCAGATCCGGCTTTTGATAGTTGGTGTGGTTTTCACGTTCATTGCAAAGCCGGTGTTTGACATCATGGATACTTTTCATGCGTAATGTTTTCACCACGCTCTCGGTAACGTTTTTGCTGAAATAGATCCCAAACGGACTTCAGACATTCGCAAATAGATTTCAAACATTTTATGTTTTTTTCTTTCTTTAACATTCTTAAAAACATTTGAAGTCTTCCAAAGGTAACATTTTCTATTAACCTACAATTTTCAAGAGGCATTTCTTTAGCATAAAAACTTCATGAATTTTGCATTTAGAATTCTTTTCCTAAATGATACAAGGCTTTATAATCATTCATTCAAAACTTCGTACAAACCGCATATCTCAAACGTGACACTTGCAGCGCTTGAATTTAGCTACTAGAAAGCGTTAGTGGACTTTAAGAGGAAGAAATATTTGACATAAAATTCACTCGAGATAGTAATTCAGTTGAGACAGCCTTTCATACATCCAAAATGTGAGGTTTTTAACAAGAGTTCCTCATTTCACATATTCCATAGGGCCGCAACTGAATAATACATTCATGTACATAAATTAAGGATAATGCAAAATTAGGCAAAGGAAGAGTTAGAAGCAAAACAAATTTGACTTATTTGTAAAGCTTATTTATTAAACAAAAGGTAAAGAGCAAAAAAAAGATGCTATATGTTTGATATTATTAAAAAAATTAGCGACTTCTTCTCCCTGGAGCAAGTTCCAAAAAAACCTATTTACAAAAAACCAATATTACATGGTTGGTATGATTGTTAATACATTGTATGTCTCCCAGAAGATGCAATACAGTCCGTACAACGCCTAGGCATGCTGAGTATCAAATTATCGATCTGATCTTGGGGGATATTACACCACTCAAAAAGCAATGCTCTCCGAAGTTCCGGTAGACATGTAGGAGGAAGTTGACGGGCTGCAACTCGTCGGCCAAGCATGTCCCACACGTGCTCTACTGGATTCAAGTCCGGTGAGAATGCTGGCCAGTCCATACGGGTGATATCCTCCGATTGAAGGCATTCGCTTACGATGTTTGCACGGTGAGGACGGGTATTGTCATCCATAAATACAAATTGTGCGCCTATGGCGCCCCGGAACGTAACGGTGTCGTTCAATGATGTTTTCTTGGTGGTAACGGGTACCTGGAGCTCTCTATATGAAAGTACGGCGAGAATCAGACTGCAAGTTAAACCTGGACTCGTCGAAAAACATCACACAAGCCCACTGTTGCGGTGTAGACAAAGCATGTTCTCTACTCCAGGCTAACCGCAGGCGACAGTGAGTTGCAGTAAGTGGAACGCATCTGACAGGTCTACGCATATAGACCAATCTGCCCTAAGCGTCTGTACACGGTCTGCCTTGAAATTGTCGTACCAGTGGCTGAAGAGAGCTGACGAGACAGGTCTGAGGCTGTGCTCCGCCGTTTCTTTTGGCAGTAACTGCCAAATACCGGTCCTCATTCGGCGTTGTAACTCTGGGGGGGCGACCTGTGCTGTAACGTCTACTCACATTACCATCATCTTGGAATCGTTGCCAAAGCCTGGAGATGACACTCTGGGCAATTCCAAGTTCGTCTGATACTTCCAGTTGGGTAGCCCCACATTCCAGACGGCCGATAATTCTACCACGTAAAAAATCATCCAAATGCGTCCTTTGTGTCGGTTCATTGCACTGAAATGCTTATAAAGCGCCTGCGAAACAATTTTACTTCTTTGCCTGTATTCCTTATATATCACTCTCTTACACTCTCGTCATTGTGACGTACCATCGGTGTCATCTGGTTACTTCCTGAAATTTGCATATGATTCTTGAAGATGTGTGTAGTGATTTTACAGGTGATATATTTATTTTAGAGTTCGATTTCCGCGTGACTCCGAATTATCCTTAATTTATGGACATGAGTGTATTTATAATTATCAGAAAATGCTTTAGATTTGATTATTCCACATGAACAGTCTAATTTATTATTTTCTTCTTTCAGGGAATTGGCTAATTATATAATTTGGCAATTTATTCAAGAATCTTTAGGCATGTTATATGATGGAAGACGCTTGGAGAGATGCCTGCCTTCAGTCAGGAATTATATGGGGGTGGCCTTAAGTGCTTACTATTTGCAAGAATACTTCGAAGAAGAAAAGAATCAAACGCAAGATTATTTACACGTATGTTTGAACAAAATATGTTTATTACATTGAAATGGTGGTTCGTATTCAAAAATATGAATACAACGAACTCCATTATGCAAATCTTTATTTTTTAAACAGCCACTTCGAAAACCCGTCAACATTTCTAAGAACGTAAATAAATATCATATTGAATATCACCAAGCACATTTACATAACCATCTATTACAGAACATGAAAAATTAAACTTAAATTATTCAATTTTAAATATAGTAAATAAAAACTGGCGCTTTTAAAACCCCCGTAAGAATACACATAAATTTGCATGCATAAAATGTTACTTCGTCGCTTATCTAATTACGTTTTTACGCTTTTGCTTGCCATGAGAAATGATCAGGAGAAAGTTATGAAATCTGAATTTAGGCACAATCAGCTTTATTAATTACTTAAATTTTGACAGATTTCCTATACTTACATACAACTGAAAAAGAAGGCGTTATACACAAGTCATTCGTTTCATATGAGAACTATTTATCATTTATCTCAGAATAAGTGGCAACACTGGAGCACTGGAAATGCACTTACAGAATTTGGTACTTTTCCTTTATCTGTCGGCAAATCTGGCAATCGTATCTCGTTATGTTTTAGCAGCCATTTTGATTCTTGAAATTCTCTTTTTGAGTTTCGCATTGTCTGATCTCGTCGCGGCTCTTTAAGTTAGCATCTACTGAAAAAGATTCAATAGAATATTTCCAGCAACGTGAAGCTCGGTTTAATCCTAGTATCCGGTGCACACGGGATTTGGCTACTTTTGGCGACTTTATGATGAGCAGTAAAAACGGGACATATACGATGAGTAGTAAACGGGTCATTCAAAGAATATATATAGTTATGCATAGTATATACTATGATATAGTGATAGTATATAGTGTATAGTATATATATAGACGTTCTTTGTGTCATTTTTGGTGTTGGCGATAATTTTCAAAATCGCGCCAAGGCTGCACCGTATACTAGGATTTTACCTGGAGCTCTCCCAAATAATCGAAAATGTTCAAATCTTTTAATATAAATCCATATATCACCGATAAAAGGATTAGGTGGCGATGTAATGGTTGCCGAGAAGATGTCAGCGTTAGAAAAGGTAACTGGTTTTAAACATTTCGTATCTCCTTTACATACGCACTCAGATTTATTTATTTGTGGTCTGAGCAGTTGACCTTAATTTAATTTTGCCATGACGAGCTTGACGTGTCATATAATACTGTAGTCGACTGAAACAACTATTTACGCGAGATTTGTACAAAAGATGTTTTGGAACAGGAGCGGAAAAAAATAGGAGGCCCTGATCTAATTGTCGAAATAGACGAAAGTCTGTTTACCAAAAGAAAGAACAACGCCGGTCACGTTTTCCCCCAACAATGAGTTTTGGGAGGAATTTGCAGAGAGACGAAAGACTATTAATTTAAATGGAACCGCTATTTATTTAGACCGTTGAAAAGGGTACAAAACTCAGGAACTTGAAGAAGCTGCCTATTCCCATTTGAAAGTTAACGACAAATATAATGTCGTAGATCCGGAAAGAGGCGCTCATACGCAACTGTCTTCTCTGTCAGAATTTATTTGGAGAAAGAAGCAGGAGGAATTATTTTGATTCCATTATAGAGGTAATAGGCGAACACTTTCCACCTGAAATAAACTCTAATTGACCTGAACACCCCCCTTTCTACGCTTTTTATAATTATGTTAATTTTTCCCATTATCTTATTATTAATTTTTATGAGTTATTACATCATATTATTTGTTCTTACCATTTTACGATATTGCGGGCAGATAAAGCAAATTGCGGTAGAATTTCCATCTCCATTGCTCTTAAGAGAAGGTGCGAAAGGGAAAATGGGATATTAGATTGTGTGAATAGCCTGCTAAAAGCAACATGCCAAGATTTGGTTTTCCTAAGACAACGTATCTGACTGGTATTCGATTAACTTCTGGCATTAGATACCCCAGAACTAGTAGAAATGACGCAACAAATGTCAGCACGTAATTGCACATAAATCTATAGAGCTGAATCATCAATGTTAACTATCTTTTGGCTTTTCTGAAGATACGTTGAAACCCATATAGCCATTGCCTTAAAAGTTTTGATTCTTCTCCATTTTTACGAGACTGTATTAAAAGATTACTTCACCTTTGTGTCTTTTACCAAAATCAAGAGTAATAGCCAGAATCTCCTCTAAATACAATTGTTAATGCTTTATTAACTAAGATTAGTAGACAATTAAACCAAAGATCACGAAAAATGCAGTTGTACGAGTGAGAGTTCTATATTGAAAATCAGAAGCAAAAGCTAAATTAGATGCTGGTTGTATTTTGACTTCATTTATGTAACAGCTGCAAAAGAATATATGTTTTCATGTTTTACGTGCTGTTTTTATCCGTTAAATCATAATTTTAATGCCATTTGTTAATGAGTTTCAACCTTACTTTCTTTGTTGAACTCAACATGACTAGGATTAGAGAGTGAAGATTCAAAATTGAAATGCTAAATGTTTGTTTCAAAGACAACTTAGGTTACTTTTGTTGTTATATTTGTTTTTATTTGTTGTTATTTCCTAACTATAATTTTTAATGGTTGTTCTAAAGGTTAAGTTATTTCAACGGAAAAATACCTATAACTGATTTTACATATATCTTATCAGAATACGTGCAGAAATTTCTATTCTTCAAGCTTTTAGTTATTTCTGGTCTTCAAGAGTTAATATTTCATGTTTAAGTATTTAGTCAAAAATTGCTTCGAGTATTTTATTAAATTGTAACATCAAGCTGCATATTAAAATTATTATTCAGACTGGTCAATGTGCAAAAGTACAAAACTGTAAATCGCTTATTAATTTCATTAGATTGCTTGTTCTTCGAAAATTACGGGATTGCATGTACATGAAATCAGACTATAAGCACAGGCTACATTATACATAAGAAATTATACTTTTAATCATTAAAAGCAGGACCTAATTTCTAAAATCAGGAGTACCACAGCCCTATGAATGACTGTGAGAAACGAAAGGAAAAATAAATTAATAAAATAACTAAAAATCAAAATAATTAACATTAATTCGAAAGAAATGTTAAGAGATAAGCAGAGATATAATAAATTATTAAATTAATTTTAAGTAGTTAAATAAAAAATAATTAAATTGAACCTTAGCTGGAATTAAAATTCCTCTTCAAAGCTAAGCAAGCTCAGGTGATCTCCGTCTGAACTTAAGACATGATTATATGAATAATATACTAATTCAAGGGAGGAAGATACAAAAAACATTCTTTCCTTGCAGCATACCAATGAAAAAAGATCAAAAAATTAAATCGTCACTAAGGAGAATAGTGAGAATTTTGGAAACAGTATGAGGATACGAAAGGAAATTTTAACAGAAAAGTGTAGCTTTGACAATAAAGAGGGAAGACTCCAAAACTTTCTGATCGCGATTCGCTCTCTTTATAGTTCTAGCCATCAAGCAGAAATTTTTCCCAAATCCGATTCGATAACAACGCAAGAATAAACGTAAGACTGCTCTGTACAAGTGACAGTAGTGGTCCTTGCATTTGGTTACATCGGTTCAAGGAGCTCTGCATTCCCAAATCCGATTCAATAACAACGCAAGAATAAACGTAAGACTGCTCTGTACAAGTGACAGTAGTGGTCCTTGCATTTGGTTACATCGGTTCAAGGAGCTCTGAATTCCCAAATCCGATTCGATAACAACGCAAGAATAAACGTAAGACTGCTCTGTACAAGTGACAGTAGTGGTCCTTGCATTTGGTTACATCGGTTCAAGGAGCTCTGCATTCCCAAATCCGATTCGATAACAACGCAAGAATAAACGCAAGACTGCTCTGTACAAGTGACAGTAGTGGTCCTTGCATTTGGTTACATCGGTTCAAGGAGCTCTGCATTAGGAGTTACTAAAGTGGCACGTGTATAACCAGGGTGATCACTTTTAGTACTTTCAAGAGCGATAGATTTACCCGCTGTCATAAATTCGTTACGTATGCTGGGGAATAAGCTTTTGAATGTGGGAAAAAACTTTTGTTTCTTTAAAAGTCTCATCTCATGTCCAAGATTTGAGCTCGAAGAAAAGACAGGCCAGCATTCAGAAGTTAGAATCTATTTTAAGGTATATATTTATTATTAAAATTGACTGCTGAAATTGTGGTTTACTTACATTATAAGGTATTTCTCCCGCCTTCTTAGCGAGACTTCGTGGTGTGGTGGTCTGCACGCTCAGCGCGTAATTGAGAGGTCCGCGGTTCGATTCCCGACAAAGGCATTGCTAAATTTCCATCTTGCCTGCTTCCAAAAAATACCTAATGTCTCTACAAGATAAATTAAATGTGTGAGCTTTTTTATTTTGAGCTTCGATACGCTCCAGATAAAATTATGATTTATCTTATAAAGTGAGAAGCGCCGGATCCGGGCTCCGGCGCAATTTATGCTCTTACTAAAAGAGATAAAGAATGTCTAATATCTGCAGAAAATACCATTTCATTCAACAGAGTTAGCAAAAATGATGGGAAATCACTAGAAATATTCAAAACATTCCAGCGGTTCTTACCTCTTTAACTTTGCCACTTCCACACCTACATGAAGAAGAATATTAAATAAAGGTGAAAAGATTTCAGCAAAGAACATAAATTATGAGCCTGTCAAAGCGGTTAATTTATCAACCGAGCGATTAATTTATAGACCACTGGTAATTCCACTCAAGTTCAGTTTCCAGCAAACGGGCTGGCTGCATGAAGGTTTCGTGGTTTTATCAAAAGTTACTATAGTACACAGTCTGTTCTTATATCACGTCACTGACTCCTAGTCTTCTCAGAAGCAACTTATTCCCTACTCCACTGCTGCCTTCATTTCTCCTACTTCTGTAAACAAGTGACGTCAGCTCTAAAAAGAGCCTAACCTTATTTATCTACTGAGCTTGGTTTTCCCCACGTTTAACTTAGATCAGTTAGTTAAAAAAGATCTCAAAGGAAGCATCCCTTTCCTTAGGCAGATAGCTCTAGTGTGCTTTGCTCTCATCCAAATAATTCAGTCAAAAATAAATTTAAAAATCGTTTGTTCTGCTAAAATATTAAGAATTAATTTATACCTTTCTGTTATTAATACTTCACTCGGTATTAAAATTTGTCAAGATATATATTGCTTTTGAGCTGTTTCTTACGGAAACAAAGCACAGAAATAAAACCATATTTCACTAGGGTCATAATGTATCTGCATTTGTCTCCAGCTAAATAGCTTTCATACTGCTTTCGTTTATTATTTTATTTATTGTCGCTACAAATGTGTGTAAAGATTTTGCAATTGATTTCTGCGTCCGCAGATTATCCCTTTTTACCAATGATTTAAATTTAAAAACATTAGAAATGGTACGTACCTCATTCGCGTATTTATTTAGAATCGTCATTTCATGTAGAAGCAATGACTGACGATTTTTCCTCTCATTAATTAATATTGCTTATTTTGCACTTCGAAATTTTTACACCATGCATTTCACCGCTTTTTGAACTATGGAATAGGAATATTTCTCTTCGGAAAGCACAGAAACATATCCTTCAATCCACAGCTTATTTACATGCGCCATTTTGAAAGAAGAATAAATTTAAAAGTAGTGGACCGTATTTCTCAATTCAAATAACAAGTTAACACCAGATGTTTTTATTCCAAAATATTTGCTTTTTTGAAAATATTTATTGAAATAGTTCTAAAATTGTGTAAACACACTCTGTAGTCTAATTATACTAAAGAAATTAGATTGTATTTAGTAGTGCTATTTAAAACAAAAAAAGTAATCAGCATTTGACACTAGGGGAACATGTCTAGTTCTTTAGCAGTGCTGCTCTATGAACAAATCATAATCAGCTATGTGTTAGTTGATGAGATGAGAGACATGGCGTTTGCAGTTCTAACGAAACGTTGACACATTAGTCAAAATATAATGATGCTAAAGTCAATGTTTCAATCCATCGAATTTCGTAAGAAAGAAGGAGCATTTATAAGTACGCAAAGTGTCTGGTTATGTAACATTTGCGGGGGTGTTCTGTTTACCAAAACTTCGTGCATTCTGTTTTCAAGAGACTCAGATATGTAATTAACAGTATTATATTCACGACAAAATTTTTAATTCAGTGAATTTTCTACTTTATTCTGAAGAGTACTCATACATTTTTCTATTTTTTTAACCCTTTCCGGCACGCTACCTTTTAAAGTTGGAGTTTTGATTTAAGAAAAAAAAAAAAAAAAAAAAAAAGGTAGACAGTCTGATTAGGCGTAGAGGAGTACACAAGTAAAATTTTGTGAAGCTAGCACTTATCGTTTTAATTCTGTGGGTGTGCCCAAAGTAGCGCACTGATTCAATAGAGCTTCGGAAGGAGTGCTGAAACGAGCATTATTGTCAATGGACTGACCGATGAGATGCGGAGAAGCAAAGAATACAGACTCTCAGTTGTCCTAGATTATCGGTGAGCCCGGTCTGGGCACACCTAGAGTTCGCCGTTTGATTTTAGGCAAGATTTCAAGGTCAAAATTTAAAATTAATATAGAATAAGGAGATTAGCATACAGCCAAAAAATAACATAGAAATTTATTTTCAAACAATTCCTTTTATACCTCAAAAAAATCTGGAAGATTTCTTTGAAAAATGAGGGTCTTAAAAAACTAAACATGGCTAAAATATATGGACTGGTTTGTGTTAAGCTGCCATCTACTATAAATAAAGAAGGTTCAGAGTAACCTATAAATCCTTTTTCATTCAATTTTTATGTGCGTACAGAAGAAACTTTTTAGGTGTGTCCGGACCAGTCACACTGTGCCGCAAAGGGTTAATGAGTATGAAACATATTTATATTTTCAAAAAATTAAACTTACAACGTGCTTTAACTTGTATAATAATTGTACTCTTTAATTATCCTAATCATCGCTGAATATCACAAAACATTATTTTCATTGTATTTATTTATAAATTGAAATAATAATTTTGTCAACTTGTGTGTGTTTAATATTCTTGTCTCTTATTTATTAAATTTTTTTCAGGTAAAAAATATTACAACATATATTCTTCAGGCGTTCGAAGATTTCTTACGGAAAGCCGGTTGGATGGACAAAACCACTAAAGTAAAAGCCATGAATAAGGTTTGAGATACCGTTTTTCACCTTCATGTATTTACAAAACAATTATCAAAAACTAAGAGAAATTTCAGTTGTGTTTTCTCATTTGAAATTTATCAAAGTCTCTTTGAGAATATTCTTGATAGCTATAGCTTCTTTTCAGCTGCTTTTTGCCTTAATTCGAGTTACGTAATTTAAAAAGTTTGACTGTTTCAAATGATCACGACAAATATCTTAAAATAAAAATTTCGTGGAAACATTCTTCACATATCGAAACTGACGTTTCATTTCGAAATTTTTCAAACACGCACGTGGTCTTAATTAGTAATGATTTAGTTACATAAACGTTTGAAAAGAATAACGTTTCATTGAGATAAAGCTATCAGGCTCACACATATGAGTTCCACCCAACATTATTAATCAAGCAGTTAAAAAATTCTCATCTCAACACACTAAAAGGCATGCTCTTGCTTTAGGAGATTATAAAAATTCTATTGTCATTCCCTTCTTTCCATCAATTAGCTATAAAGTTGCACATATTTTGCAGAAATTTAACTTTCGGGTTGTTTATTCTCCCATCAATAAAATTCCGAGTTCCATACTCAAGGACCCCATTCCGGATATGAATTCCTGGGGTATTTATAGGATTCCTTGCCAGTGTGGTGTAATTTACCTTGGCCAAACTAAGAGAGCCTTAAAATTTCGCGTCAAGGAACATGAGGCATATGTTAGAAAAAAGGAAACACAGAAGTCTTTCTGTTGCGCAACATTGTTGGTCCGAAAATCACACTTTCAATTTTTTTTCTGCTGCCAAAATTATTCAAAAAACATCTTCCATTGGAGAACTGGATTTTCTAGAGGCATTTCACATTCATAAAAATCTTTCTGTTCTAGTTAACGATCCTAATTCCAATCCAAATTTGCCTTCGTCCTTTAAAGAAATTATGTTTTAGTTCTGGTTTCACCAACAGATGGCGCCACTTGCTTATTCTTGTCCAGGCTTTCTTATCTTATCTAATCATTATTTACAAGCGTCTAGCCCTTCAGATGCTAGTTTCCTCTTGATTCCTCCCTAATCATTTGCGCAGATTCACGCGCAGCGTGTTTATGTCAGGGAGCTCGGCATGCAGAAAGGAATCAGCTGGCACCGACGCCGTGCCGTCAAGTTACGAAAGTGCTGCGGATTACTCAGTGCAAATTAATTTCTTTTTATTAGCTTTTCTACAGTATTTTTCTTTTTAAGTCGAATACATATTTACATGTTGATATTGATTTTTGATTGTTTCTCATTTTCTATCAAATAATATATTATTTTGATTTGTGTATAAAAGAATTCCTGATATTTATTCATTCATTCATCTATACATCATCGTCCAAAGCTATTACAGATGCAGATATCAAAAGCTAGGAGCTCATTTCTTGTCTACTGAAGGCGTCATTTAAGAAGAGATTTTTAAAAATTCGGCACCCAATGGGGGGAGGGGAGGGCAAAAAATGTTTTTACGTTTTTTCATATAAGGAAGAAACAGATGTACACAAGAGTCTTGCTTTAAAATGTATGGAACATGAATACTTAAAAACCAGTTTCAGAAGTTCGACCCCCCAAGGACCCCTACCCTTGAGAATTCGGCCCCCCCAAGGGGGTAGGGGGCTGTGGTAATAAAATTTTTATTAAGGTAGTACAATAATTGAGACAGATCGTAATAATCATAACAATAGAATAGAATAAATATTATTTTGTCTTTCATTGTTATGGGTTACCAGACTGGCAGCATGTAATAGGCAAGTCGCCACAGGGGCAAAACATGTTTTCACATATTTCTTCACACTTTAGATATCCGTAAGATTCAGTGGTGGATAAGGCTGGTGCGGTTATGGGCTGATCAAGAAATTCGAACAATCGAATTGACACAGATGACTCGGCGAGACAGCCCTGCGAGGGAGGGTATGTGCGTAGAATTAATACTTTCTCTGAAAAGTATATCTTCCAATGGTATACAAAATGCACAGATACGACAAATGGCAAAATCTATTCTGGATAAAATATCAACTTTTAGAATAATTTTGTCTGCTCGTGTATATTTGAAAATATTTCAATATACTGAGCCAGTAATGAAATATTTGCAGACTAAAGGATTAGATTACATGCTAGCATATAATATAGTTAGGGAGGCTGCAAGCTCTTTAAAAGCCATCTCTAGAAACTTCAATTTAACATTTAATGCATCAAAATTGTTTGCAACGGATTACAATAATAAACTAGAAAGGCTGGGTTGTGATATAAAAGAAGAGCTACCTGTTAGAAGATACCAAAAGTGAAACAATTAGACGATGAAGAATCGGCCGACTATAATTTAAATTGCTCTATCAAACAAGTTATTGTCTTTACTTTTATATTGGATAACGCCATTTAATCGATGAATAGTAGGTTTAAAAGGGCATAGGAAGTTGTATGAAGACATATCACTTCTCGATCCCCCCAAAACGTTTCGAAGCCATTTATCTTTTTCAAATGGCGCGTCACAATTTCCACAGTGTTTCACAGTAATGGTCAGCGTTTACTGTTTCACCACGTGGAAGGAACTCAATGAGCAGAATGCCCTTCTTGTCCCAGAACACTGTGCACATCACTTTGTGTACCGATAGCGTCTGTTTGAATTTCGTCCCGACTGGAGATCCACTATGCTGCCAATGCATTGACTGCTGCTTGGTTTCCGCGGTGAAGTGCAGAATCCAAGTCTGATTGCCTGTGACGATCCCATTGAGGAACTTGTCGCCGTCATCGTGATACCGTTACAGAAATGTCAGTGCTGCTCCTAAGCGTTCAATTTTGTGTTCAGATGTCGGGTTTTTCGGCACCCACCTGGCACACAATTTTTTGAACAGCAGGTGCTTAGTGACAATCTCTTGCAACAAGGATTGTGATATCTGCAGAAAATGGCTGCTCAGCTTCGTAATCGTGAAGCGACGGTTCTCCATCACGAGCTGCCGCACAAGCTCAACAAGATCATCATTGATGAGGGACTGTCTGCCACTGCACTCTTCATTATGAGCACTTTGATGACCTTCTGAAAACTGCCTACACCAACGATGCATCATCTGCTTTACTCATGATGTTTGTCCCATAGACCTGACAATTAATTTCAATTGGCGCAGTACTTGCATTCAAGAACTTTATCACTGACCCAACCTCGCAGGCGGCAGGAGAAGGAATAAGAGCTTCCATCTCGGACCACTGCAACCACGCTACTGGCACGAGGCACAAGCGTCTAGCCCCTCAGATGCTAGTTTCCTCCTCCTGATCATTTGTGCAGATTCACGCGCAGCGTGTTTACTCTCAAAAAGCTTGGAGTGGTCAAAGCCGTTTTTTTTTAAAACGACACTCGTTTTTTAAAACGTTGCAAACTTGGTGCGCATTACTGAGTGTAAATTAATTTATTTTATTTCTTTATCTGAAATAGTTTTCTTTTTAATTGGTATACATATTTATTTGTTCAGATGTTTTATTATAAATCTATACATAAAGGAAGAATTCCTGATTTATTCACCTACAGATCATCGCCCAAAGCTATTAGAGATATCAAAACTTAGGAGCTTATTCCTTTTGTACCGAAGATGTTATTTAAGAAGCGATTTTTAAGATTCGACGGGCAAAACGTGTTTTTATGTTTTTTCATATAAGGAAGAAACAGATGTACATAAAATTCTTGCTTTAACTCTTTCGCATCGAGAGAGGGCAAAATCTCAATTCCCCAAACATCAAAAACGCCCGTATCTAAGAATTTCTCCTGGAATGCTTTTCCTTCCCCCATGACAAGTTGAATACTACAGTGCTAACAATAGCCTTACTTAAGTAAAGCGAGAACTTCTTTCTTCGACGCTTTGACACTGCGTGAAGTTCCCCCTTGGGACGGGATTGCAACTTCGGGCATCAAAAGCTAAACACTGACAGTAAACAAAGGAAAGGAAGGAACAAAGGAAACAAGGAAGCTACTTTTAGTAGCTTCAAAAGAATGATTGACATGTGATTTAATTAACAACACCTGAAAGCAATGAGTAATGCAGTAACGTGATGGGGGAAAGCACTGGGTAGGAAATTATTCGGGCGTCCAGCGATGTCTGAATGCTCGGGCGCTTGGGGCGACTTCGATGCGAAAGAGTTAAAATGTATGGAATATGAATACCTAAAAACCAATTTCAAACGTTTTCAAAATTCGGCCCCGAAGGGGGGAAACGTGTTCTTTACATATTCCTTCATATCTCAGATATCTATAAGACAAACTTATGAATTATTGCTGTAAAATGTAAGGAATGTGAATAAATGCTGACATCAACATGTGTGGGGGGACTGATTGGCATAAAATACAAGTTTACATAATGTACAAGTAAGCCTTATTCAAGGTACAGGAATACCAGGTACCTTTACCAGGTATGTAAAGCTAGTTAGCATTAAAAAAAATTAAGGTTTCTACCATTTAATGTTATTAATAATTAAAACCCCAAAATAAAAATGTAGCAGCATGTGGCAATTCACAAAACTGTGATGAGATTGTTACAATGTTCAGTTAGTTTTAAACAATTCTACACATAATAAAATGGCCAGTGCACAACATGTGAATGTACATGGGGTTGAATAATTAGAAAATAAAAAACTTGACAAATATTAAATAGTAGAAAATATTGCTTACTGTTCAAATTTGGAATTGACTCAGTTTCACCAAAATATATTTATCAACATTAAAATGTTTGGTAATAATCTATTGACTGAACAGTATAAAAGTCAATGAATGATTGATTGTATGGACAATATTTGGTACTGTTGGACTTGGGGGGGGGAGGAAGGAAGACAGTAATGCAAGGAGGATGAACAAAAATAGACTTACTCATTAATCACAGAATACATCAGCCTATCACGAGGACCTGAGATAAAGGTTTAAAACCCTGTTCTGAACTTCTACATCTGTTCCTGATCATTTTAAGGATCAGAGTGGGAATTATCTTATTATTAAAGAGAAGTTCTGAAG